GACCAAAGAAATGAATCCTTCCTTTCTCGGGCAATGAAAAATCCAATGGGTGGATTTTTCATAACCCAACCTATCCCAAGATTCATTGCGTGCCAGTGATAAATCACTTTTCAAAAAGAGAATAAGGCAGACTCCACTGTAACAGCAGCTGAGGATAAATAGGAAATCCTCTGCAGACCAGACCAGACCATCTCATTTTGGTTCTGCCTTCATGGTCTATGTCGTCTTCAGACGCCACAACTTGGTCCTCCAAAGGATGCGGCCACTGAATTGGGATGCACTTAGAACTCCAAGAAGAACTGATGTGATTTTTGTCTCAGATTAAACTGCACGCAGCATCTTTGTCATGTCATTCCCGTTGAGCTTTCAATTTGTTGTTGTTGTGTCTTGTTCTTCCTTTGTCTTTTTGTGATTTAGAACTCTCTCTGAGATCTTTTTAGCTGTATCATTGCAGTTACCTTACTTGGGCTTACTTAAGTAACAAACATGCTGGATTTACTAAAATGTGTCATATTACAGAATATTGGATTTTATAGGCATCAGAAAAAGGTATTATAAAATTTTCAGATGTCTTTTATCTATACTTTGAAGAGACTACATCTATAACTATTATATAATAGCCTACGAAATTCATGTTAAATCCTCTTAAAGATGAATCCATTCTTTGCAATTTGTTCTTTTGACTGTGTATGACCAGCTGGACATGTCAAATGTGTCATTTAATATCCCAAAATGTGAAAAGGGTTTCAAATAGGGAACAAAATGGAGAAACCTAACTTGTAATAATACACCTGTTATTACTTCACATCATCATATCTTTCCTCGAATAACAGCAAACTGACCACAGATCATTCTCTGACCATGATCCTGTGCCGCTTACACTTCTGCACTTGCTTGATTCTGACAAAACTGCATGGTGTTTGTAAAGTTGGGATAATTTATAAGCTGAAATAAATGGTTAAACTGGACAGTCTCTCTCTTCTGTGTTGCATTGTTTCATGTGTAAAGGAGGCAGCAATAAAATGAAGAGTTGACTGGAGCCATGGCTGATAGGACAGACCAGTCTGCTGAAGCTGCACCAGTACGAGGCTCAGATGTAGCAGCAGTGATGGATGTTATCTCAAATTTGTTTTCGCATCGAAGCTGTTTCATATCTGCTGCGACTTTTTTGATCCAATGATGCGCTGAGGGAATTCCCAAACATATAAGAGGTAACTGGAATATGCTTATTTGCTCTCTTTCAGAGAGTGAAGTGATGTCTGTTTAGAAAAAAATCTAAAATTACAACCCATGTTTGGTACAATGAAATCGAACCTGGCAACCTGACTGTGAAAACAAGATTTAAGAATTCTGCAACAGTCACTGCACCTGGCAGTTATTTGCTAAAAGTAGTTCCAGCACCTCCCTCCCTCTACAACCCCAAATTGGCCATTTTACATTCTGCGTCTGCACAAGTTTAACAAAACAAGTTGCAATGAAGTGCGTTACCGCTGGATACAGGGGCTCTCATTCTGCTCGAGGTGTAATGAAGCCTCCTCCTCCTCGAAACACTGCTGCGTCTGACTCAACAGCTCTGCATTTGGCCACGGTAGAGTAGCACCAAATATCTGGTTTCAACATTATATCTTGAACCTAAACTGTTACTCTCAGCTTAATAAACAATATGGCAGATGGATTGTTTTGGTCCCTGAGTTTGGAGACGCTGGAAGCAGAGGGACATATGAATGCAGGAAAGACATATGGAAAATGTTGAATCAATCCTGCTGGGATGTGCAGAGGCGCACCATCAGGAGACGCAAACCAGTGCTTGGGTCCCCCAAGAGCAAAAGGGGTCCCTGAATGCCCCTTATGTTTGTACATTTGTTTGTACACAACAACTATAAACACCCGTAAACCTCCCATAAAGACACTATACAGTGCACTGCTACTGATGGGTGCTGAAGCTAGTGTCTACCTATTGCCTGCATGTTAGTTGTTTAGGGGACACCTGTAAATTGAAGCTTTGCCAATAGTCTGCAAGTGAGGCGTTTAGGGGACTTCTGCAAATTGAAGTATCTGCATGTGAGGTGGTTAGGTGACATCTGTAAATTGTAAGTGGGGGGGTTGGGGTGGGGGGTGGGGGGGGTTCTTCAGTGGGTGTCTTGCATGGTGCCCCCCAGAGTCTAGGATCACCACTGGGGAAAGCTGAGTACACCTGTGCTTACTTGAAAAAATTCATTAAAGAAAACAACATCACATATCGAGATCTAACATTTAGCTTCAGCTTGATTCAGTCTTTATATATTTACCAGAATAAATTGTTCCCTAATGAGAAAGGGATGCTTCAGGTTCTTATATAGAGTTAACACAATGACTGCAGCTCTTTGTGGTTGATATATTACATTGATACATACAGGAAAAGAACAAATCTATGTGCTGCGACCCATTTTCCAACACAGCAGTTTTTACTGCGTGGAATGATTCCTGGTTAATAACAACATTAGCCCATATAATCTCATCAGGAATTGGCAACTTTAACATCTGGCCAAGGAACAGTATTTGAAGAGTTGACTTCTGGCTAGCATCAGCACATTTACACTGATGTGCAGTGTTCCTTTAAAATTGATACATAAATAAATCAGCTAAAGGATAATTTCACATATCTTAAAACAATAGTAAAGTGCCTGAATGTGTTAACACTGAAATAGGTTCTGCTGTAATCATTCCTCCAGTCATTCTGCCGTTACAAACTGTAAATCCACCATATGGCTAAGGGACAGATAGTATAGTTACCATATGTCCCTTGGCATCCCTAGGCCTATTTAATATTCTTAGCAGCCATAGCCCATTCCTGTAGACGCCACATTTCTTTGTCTCTATGACAATGTTGGATATATCACCTCATTATGTCATGTATTATGTCCCATGTTTGTTTACAATATGCTTTTTTTTTCTCATGTTTTGTTCTGCTTCTATTTCTATCTCAGATTCTTGTATGGAAGTTGTTGTGTGTCACATTTAAGTGGAGCACACTGCCAATCATCTCACTGCAGGTTGTACAAGACAGTGTACTGCATGTTCCTGATGTGGATTTTGTTTTATTCTCTCAACACTCAACAAAAACCTGCTGTGGAATGAAAATATATCAGAGTGTGGATGTGAGGCTCATCTGTGCTGATGAGAAACACCAAAACTTATTCTGCTACTTCACATCCTGCAGATTAAAGACTTTCTGTCCCTCAGCACAGTAAACATCTGCTTGGCCATTCAGGCCAGTGAGTGTGGGCACAGATGAAAGCACACAGGCGCACAATATTTAGGCAGAGAGCGCTCTAAACAAGCAAATCTTTCTGCTAAATCATTAATGTAGGTGTCCCAAGGCCATGAGAGACCAGCTTCTCTCTTAATGTGACTCCTGATGATAAAAACAAATGAAACATTAAAGGTCCATATAGTCTAAAGGCAGATGTCCATGTGTTGTTTGATCATAAAGCAGGTCTAGGTTCTATATTAATACTGTGAAAGTATCAAAGCCTCAGTCCACAGAGAAATGCACACAGCCTGTATTCAGAAACTGAGCCTTAAAACCATCTGTCAGGACTTCTGGAACTTTGTGATGTGACAGCAACAAAACAGTCAACGCTCTCAGCCATGCCCCAAAGCCCCACCCACCTGGACCCACCACCCAACCTTGCAGGATTTGTGCTGTTTTTTTTTTTTTTGCTTAGGAAGGTTCCTAACTGAGTGAAATGAGCTGGAGCAATGAACTGGAGCAATGATAGGAGCTGGTCGAGTTCTCTAAAAAATAAGGAAATGAGCTTCAGTCCTTCCAATCTTATAGGCCTTTAGCAAAAGGAAACATTGGACCGTCCTTTATGAAAGGAAGGAGAAAATGCTGTCCCACAATTCCTTACCACTGCAACATCACTAGAGGACCTTTAAAGCTACGCACCACTGTAGTTTCACCTCGGCAGACCCACGTAAATGTAGAAACAACAGAGCAGCTGTTTTATGTTTGACACGATCCAGAACTGATGGAAATCCTTGTTCGGCTCACCGACCTGTTGTTACTAGAGCTCCAGAGAGAAGCCTGAGAGAGGAGATGTAAAACTACACAGAGATGGCTTTTGGTTCTTAAAACCACAAATATATCTTCTTATGGATCAACACTTCAAACTTCAAAGGTGTAAAATATGGGACCAGTGTTCAGATGAGGAACAAAAAAAAAAAAAAAACGGTTCGGGGGGTAAGAGTTACGATTTATTTCCCATATTCATGCCTGGAGGAATCTTGTTCTATGATTTTAGACACCCCTACAGTGGACCGTACCATTTCTTAACCTTGACACCTGCACTATACTGGGTTCCCTTTCACCCAGGAGAAAAGGTTGACTCTCCTGGTTGTCATTGTATAATTTGCACTCTGGTTCAGATGACTGGATTATTCATCAATCCTGCAGACAAACACGATGTAATTGATTTTCTGTTGTGGCATGCACCTTACACATCAGTATAACTCATTGTTTTTCATAGTTTTTATTTATTTATTTATAATCATCACTAGAGGACAATCACAATAATCCCAAAACCTCAACCCTGCCCTTTCCCTTTTCCCTTTTTTTTAAAACAGCAAAAAGAACAAGAAGAAGCTTTACAAAATCCATCCTAAGAAGAAAATCAACAGCTGAAAGGAAAAAAACAGAAAAGAACGGAAAAAAACAAAAAAAAAAACATACAAGACATCGAGGTCAAATCAATCCATCCCCATAGACTAAACTTTCTATGAGATCTGACATCTCAAAAATATATTTATGTACACACTCTGCTGTATTGTACTGTACAAAATGTGGCAACACTTGACACATTCCCTGTAGACATGCAAACACCTTACTGACACTGTAAAATTGCCCATCTTAGTACACCCATTTTCATTTATTATCGCTTTTAATGTTTTTTTTGTTTTTTTTTCTTGAAGTAAGAGTGTCCAAAACCTCAGGAAATGTCTCTTGAATTCAATAAAAATCTGACTTCTGACAGATTTCATCGCTTGATTTACCAAAACCAGGTTAATGGCATATTAAGATGGAGAACTTTTGCAGTGTGGCCTAACTTTATGGCCGATATCCATAATCTTCATATAGGATCCATAATGTATTTATGACCATACAACCGACGTAGTGTTGTAACTGTTTCAGATACTAAACTGACCGCGATGCTGTGTCTCGAGGACCTGAGTTGACATAGGTTGACACATGACACTGCTAATGGATGACTACCGACGTCAGCAAGTAATATTACAGTATGTTGAACCTCATAAGGCATTGTACATGTCTACACAAGACCCCTGTACAATAAAGTGTGACCCATAAAGACTGTTTCCATTCAGGGTGGGCGATGGCAGAGGGTTTCAGCAGGAAATTGCACTTATTCAGGGGTCGGCTTGGTTGTGGTGGACTTGTGTGACTAAAGGTTTTTTTGTAGATGACTGGAGCATTTCCTTGTGCAACAATACAACAACCAAAGGAGAGGTGAGATCAGAAGTATTGTACATCTGTGTTCTTTTCTTCCCAAGTGTTACCACAAAGTAGACTAACATGGCAAAAATGAGTGTGGGAGGAGGGAAGAGAGGAGGAGGAGGGGGGAGAAAAAAGAACCATGCACTTGGTTAAGTGTGGATGACTGCAGCCCAGAGAGCCTGCACAAGATGGAGGCAGTCTTCCGTGTGCTTTGCCGAGAAACGGAGCGTCCCGAAACTGAAATGACTTTATGCTAGAGGGCTGTTCCCGCCTCAAGTCCCGGCAATGCAAGTGTCACTGTCGTGTCCTTCAGTTATCTTTTCAACACATTTATACACAGTCACACACTGGAGTGCTCTCTCTCTCTCTCTCTCTCACACACACACACACTTACACACATACACAAGCGCACACACACATACACACTTAAGAGCATTAGAAGCTCTAACCCAGTGTCCATGTCTGGCTAAACACTTGGTCCAAATGCGAAAAGCCTTGACGGATTTTAGCAAAATTATCTTAAGCTCTGCCGAAGGTCTAACCCTCAAAGCCTCCCGCCTATTCCTCCTCCTCCTCTTCGTCATCGGGCAGCGGTAGTAACTCCTCCTTCAGACACTCCCTGTAGAAGCTGGTCAGTGTGGCGTAGAGGTGCTGGCGACTCTGCCGGGACAGGAAGTGACCCTCATCTGGGTAGATCTGGAGAGTAAATGGTAAGGAAATAACCACAGGGTTAGCGATTAATGTACATTCATGCAGTTTGTTTATTCGTGTCAAACTAAAAAATGAAAAAAAAAAAAAACATGGTATTTCGATTTTTTCATTTTAAACCAAAAACAAGAAAAAAAAAAGCAAGAACATCAAATTGAAAGAAACAATGTTGTTTGCAGGAATGAAAAAAGGTAGTCAGATGGCACAGAAAATAGTTAAATAGTCTGTAGACCATACTAAAGAGGCTACTAATGCATATAATAGCTACATCTTATGTAGGTATGGTTCATTTGCTAATATGATAATGATGAATACCACTTTGGCAAATTGTTTTCCTATGTAAAGTATGGCTTAGAACTGATGAATTGAGGTTGTAATGTAGACTACAGACAACGAACAATAGCTATAGAAAGTGAACATTAGCTTGAACATGTAGTAGAATATTAACTTATTTGGTGAAAGGGTGAACAATAATTTTGTAAAACATGGGGACCTCTGCTGGTCACTTTAGACAATACTATCTGGGAATGACTACACAATGTATTTCCACATATTAATTAATTAGACTATTCATTTGCACTACACAAGTAATAATACATCACACAAAACCCACAAAACATCAAAAGATATTTCCCTCAGGAGTGGGTAGAGACCAAAACAGAGCTAAAAGTAGAGTGAATACCAGGGAGAGAGACTCTAAATTAATGCTGATATTTTCTTCATATTAGCCACATGTATAACTAAAATGTTTGCTAACAAGTTGACTGTAACAGCTTTATAAGGTGATAAGAAAAACAGAATATACTGTAATACTGCGTTGGCGTCCTGGTTATTTAGTGCAGTGGTTCTCAATCTTTTCCACATCAAGGACCCGTGAACTGACACAAATTAGACCACAGGACTCTGGGACAAAAAATTATTAGATGGGGGATAAGATTTCTGCTTTTAGATGTTTTATTACAGAAAGTGTTTGAACCCCATGATCAAAATAACCACACATTCTGTCATTGTGTTACTTATGGATGGACCCACAGGAAACTCCTCGAGGACCCTTTGAGAACCACTGGTTTAGTGCTTTACATGCATAAAATGTAATTCCACATTTCCTGTACTAGAGGTAAATCTAAATGTACTATAAATGACAAATTCTCTCTCTCACAAATCAAAGTCAATCTGTTTCTCTTCAACAAAATAACAAGACACAAGTAATTTACTTGTTCTAATGTGACCAATTTTGTACATTTTTCTCTTTTTTAAAAGAAAGAACCTTAGGGATTAAAGAGGTGTCACGTTCAGGGGCATGTTTGCTTAGAAAATGAGCGTGTCGGGTTGTCACATGTCTGAAGATGAAGATGATTCCACACTTCAGATACGTGCAAATTAATTTACAAACTCTACGTCCCCGTTCCTCTGCATACTTTCATTACTCTAGCCGTTATAGGAATGCACATTAATTTGACTTTCCTGTAGTCGCCAGTGAAGTTGACAACACTCGATGTTCTGTTCCTCACAGTAAAATCCCTCAGATGCGTTGTGTACATAGAGATATTGATACTTGATATTGCATATCAGGACACAACTAAACTTAGTTTGGCAACTCTCCACTCCTTATAGTAGGATCAAAACATAAAATATAATTATGATAAAATGGTAATAATAAATAGACATAATACATACAGAGTAAAGAATAAATAGCCTTATAAAGACTTTAAACATTGTGCATTATTGCTCATAATATTTAAGATCTACAGCACAAGTTTCTTGTGTTTATCTTAAATAAAATAATAATCGTATTGCACTGGAGGACTTGTACATTTGCATCCCTGTTTTAACACAGGCAGTAGAAAGACTTTGTTGTTGTGTCTGCGATACACACCTGCATGGAGTAGTTTGCTCCAACTTTCACAAGGTTCTTGACGAGCTCAGCAGTATGCTGGAAGTGGATGTTGGCTGGGAGGAAAAGAAACAAAACATGTCAGCAAGATTCAGCCTGAATCCAAACCGGGGGGGAAAAGAAAAAGGCAATCAGATTGTGGCAGGATGGAAATACCTCAACAAAATTCGACATGCATGGTTCATCAGCGAATGTTTTCCTCCGGAAATCCCAGCATCAATTTAGATAACCCACTTTTCTTTTTATCTTTTGATTAAAAACCATTTGCCTCATTACCTTCCAGGATTGCGTGCTTCTTTGTGCTCAGCGGCGATGCACGGCAGATACAGTATTTTGATTTTTATCACAATTTATTTTCTCTTACCATCTGCTGTGCCGTGCACCAGCATCAGTGTCTGCTCTCTAAGAGCTTGAACGTTCTGCAGCACGCTGGAAAACTGCGAGGAAATCAGAAATAGCAGGAGATTGATAGATAGAACTGGCGCTGTGGAAAGCAATACAAAGATACCACGTCTGATCAAATGCACAGCACTGTCATAATTTTACATTATATCCTGATTGCATGCACACGAAGACAGCCGTTTAATCCAATTTCAGATTCCCAAGCGATAAAGTGTCACCCACTGACATGATTTTCTGTGCTTGGGTACAAAATGTGAAGAAAAGAGATGTAAAATGCAGGAAATGCAAAGCAGCAGTATACTGAGAGGAGAGAATGTGCTTCCTCACTTCCTCTTTCTTATTACTGTGGAAAACACCTCTGATAGCTAAACATCTTGTCTGCGCGGGAGGCCTGAGAGAGCCAGGCAACTCCTTTTTCAGCAGCTTATGAAAAAAAATTAAAAAAAAAAACCTCCTGCATGTGATCTGACACACTAGAGCACACAGTTACCAAAGAGAGATGAGTGACAAAATCTTACAGAGCATGAAAAAAACAAAAAAAAACAAAACAACAACAAAAAAAACAAAACAAAAACGCCTCGCCGCCTCCGACTTTGATAGCAGCGACGTTCGGTAACCGTGGGAGCTTAAACTGTAGGTGTGTCAGTGATGTTGCGCTTTCAAAGCTCAGCGGCAAAACAAGCGCGGGGAGGCAGTAAACACGCACCTGATATCTGCTGTCATCCCGTAATGGCATGCCGAGGTATCTCTCCGAGAACGCTGACGCTGTGCAAATGAGAAGTGATACATTCTTTAACAGTGGCAACAGGAGACAGCGCTTCAGCTGCAGTTAAGTACCTAAACAAAGTGGAGTTGTTGTCATCTTGAGCCCCGGATGAAATGCTCTTAGTGAGGAGGAAATAAAACCTTGTGTAGCTGAGAGAGTCCTCTGTGGCGTCTTGGGATTGTAAAGGGTGTTGTTCTGTATAAGAACCTGATTCACCTCACTTTCTGTCACACCAAAATACCACCTTTAGTTATTCTCGCTGCCTCCACACAAACACTGCATCAACTCTCGTATTTAAAATGTGCTTATCTTTGACAGGCCGGACGGAAAAATCTGAAGAAGACATCTTTTGCGTTTGTGTGATTTGAGATCCACATGTAAATTCAACACGGTGCAGAGGGACTGTGTACTCACCGTAGAGTTTCCAGTCTGTCACTGGTGACATCGCACATGCACATTTGAAGAGGCTGTCAGTCGCTTTGAGCATCATTAATGTTATGTAGGCTCCATAACCCTGAGCAAACACACATAAACATTTATGTCATTTTACATTTCCCTGTGTTTTATCTGAAGTGTTGATCAATAAGTGGTTATATTTGTGGTTTTAAGAACCAGAAATCATCTCAATGTAGTTTTACATCTCCTCTCTCAGGCTTCTCTATGGAGCTCTAGTAACAACAGGTCAGTGTTGGCATCAAGAGAGGCTCAGAGCCTCCTCTCTTCTGATTGGCTGACTGTTTTCTGAGTGATCTAATGCTTCAGGTAAACACTCAGAGAAACCAAATCCTGCAAGGTTGGATGCTGTGTCCAAGTGGGCGGGGCTTGGGGCATGGTTGAGAGTGTTGACTGCTTTGTTGTGACATCACAAAGTTCTAGAAGTCCTGACGGCTGGTTTTGAGGCTCAGTTTCTGTATATAGGCTGTGTGCATTTCTCTGTTACTGAGCGCTTTGATACTTTCACAGTATTAATATAGAATCTAGACCTGCTTTATAATCAAACAACACATGGACATCTGCCTTTAGACTATAAAGCAGAGGTCACTAATAGGCAGACCACGGACCGGACCCAGACGTTCAGTATAACCTTCAAATTTTTCAAAAGCCCTCTGTTATGTGCTTATTGTAGCCATTATTGTCCTTAAAATGCTAAAATAAAATGTAGGCACTTTTATTTTATTATATAGAAAAGGTATTATATACTGTACATTTACTGTATACTGTATATCGTAATATATTAATTTATGAAACACTGACGATGTTTTCTGTGCATGGATTTTGTTTAACAGAAGCGACACAATATACAAATCGAAAAAACGGTCTGTAGGTTGACTTCATTTTACATCTCATAATAAACAAGAGCTTTATCTCACCTTTCCAAACACTGCTATCCGTGTCCGATCAATATATGGAAATTTCATCATGTATCTGGAAAAAAAAGAAAACATACATCACATGAGCTTCTTTTTAAAGCACTTTGAGGACATCTGAAACTCAGCTTTATATCAGCTGAATGTTATTGAGTAAATATAATTCATCCTTACAGTTTACAGATTCAATTTTATATTTCTTGTTTGTTTTTTTAACTCTTCTGTTTTCAACATTATATTTGACATCTTGGAAAACTGTGTGTGTGCAAATCATCTGCTTGGAAAAGATTAATATCCATGATTATTGTTATATATCAATAATGAAATCCAAAAGGAACAGCAGCATGGTCAACCTGGTTCTGAGAAAATTCTGTTAACAACTAACTCATGAGGAAAAACATGGTGTTTGCTCCAGCTGGAAAATAAGACGCATTTAATAATTGACTCCTACTTACAGCAAATTCTTGGAGTGACCTTTAAGAGCAGCTCTCACATGACGACATGATCACACGCTCTCTGAAGAAACAGCCAATCACACACAAGGTTTCACCTGCACCTGCCTTATTGTTCATTTTCTATAAAAATCCTCACATTTCAGTGATGCAGTTTTCTGCAAACGCCTGCACGATGCCTGTGCTCTCTTTAAAGATAATATGATTTGTGTGAAATCTTTCATGTGCAGTCACATGTAACATGTAAAATTAACAAGACATGCCTCCATAATGCAAAAGATTAAGAGAAAATCCATTTTAGAGAAACAATTTCTGTGACTGCAAACAAGATTTTATTTTTCGGTTTGCATCCACGAGGAATGAAAAAAAAAAAAGTATGTTTCGAAATACTCATACTCATAACCCATGATCTTGTTCAGCATCTACAAATCCATGATAAATCAGCCAACTCCACCCGCTGATGAAGATCATGCGATGTAATCAAAAGGTGTAGAGCAGCTACTAAATGGGCCTTGAGGCGAGATAGTTTTGTCAGCATGTTACAAAACACACCTGTACCACAGTCCAGTAGCCCACACCAGTAGCTCTTAAATGAACAATGTGGCCAGGTGTTCAATTCATACAACAAATAGGGGGCAGCATATTACCAAAGAGTTTGGGCGTGTACCACTATAGTAAGTAGCAAGGAAATGAACTATTCGGTGCCCCCTCCCCTTCCCTGAGCCACGGTCGAACTGGCTATTGGGCCCCAAAAATCACACCGTGACGTTAACGTTAGCTTGAGCAAATCTACCCTCAGCATACAGCAGTTGTTGACACGTCGCCAAACCTGCACTGACTGATGAATAATGTTTTCTACGCAGCTTTACGTTGTAATGTGATTATATAGTCGGCTGTTTTCTTCAGTTATTGTCAGACTGGTGACTGCAATTTGTCACCCAGTCCGCTCAGTCAGAGAGACGGGGAAGATGAAGAGGTGCAGGAGAGCAGCAGCGTCAGTACAGAGAGGGCGGCTGCAGCTCACAGTCACTACCTCTCATGTTGGACTGAGGGCAGACCGGACGTTACAGTGACTCACTGTCAAAGTGGTATTACAAAACAGGACAGGCTGGGGCTAGCTGCTTTGCATGCTAACTTCAGTATATACTGTATCTCTGCAACACAACACGTAGACATAGACTTTGATGTGACGTCAAAACTGTTATTTCTTCCCAATCTTAGTTTATGTTTGAATGTTTCAAACTAAAATACTTCCACACAGCACCTGGAAACAAACCTAAGAAAATGTTGCATTTTTGAAGTCAAAAATAATTAAATAGGATATTTTATTCTTTGGTAATTTGATTTTTTGTATTTGATTACTATTTATTATTTAGTTATCTTTCTATTGAACAGCTCTTAGCCCACATATTAGACATATTAACTAGAGGATGATATTCTGCTGGAAACTTCAAACTAAATTGTCAGCGTTTGAGTGTATCACTCTTTTTCAGATGTTTTAAATAAAATGTTGTCACATAAGAATTAAAGCTTGTATAAAATAGAATGAAACAAATTTGACAGCATACTCTACTGCTGCAATCTGGTCCTGGACATCGACACTTCCCAGCCTCTGATGAACCTCGTGCAGGATCCTCTGGCCCTGGAAGCCGCTGCCCCGACCGTCCAGTCGAGCCACGATGACGCTGTCTGAGCTCACCAAGACAGAGTCCCAGCTGAGAGAGAAGCGGTCGCTCACCGCCTGACCACCAGGCGCGCTGTCACTGCACAGAGCAGGAGACATGAAGTAAACTCACAGAATCCTAATTTGAGACAATTAGTAAAATTGTTCTTAATAGGTTAGTAACATAGCATTGATTACATTAACGATAAAGATAACCATAGATAACCATAGATTTGTTTTATTTCACTGAAGTAGCCAGGTTGTTGTAGTTTCATCTGGGGTAGTATTTTTCCATATACACAACTGAAATTTAAAATATGAAAATTATAATACCAACTTCCCTAACCTGTCTGTAGCACTCACACACAACATAAATGTAAAAAAAGTCTCTTAAACAGCTGGAACATGTCCAGCGTGACACACTGATGTGTTTTTTTTTGTTTTGTTTTTTTTTAAGTTATTTTTTGGGGGCTTTTTGTGCCTTTAATGGACAGGACAGTAGAGAGAGACAGGAAATGGGGAGGCAGAGAGAGGGAGAATGACACGCAGGAAAGGGCCGTCCGATGCGGGAGTCAAACCGGGGGCCAGCTGCAGCGAGGACTGTAGCCTCTATATATGGGGCGCCTGCGTAACCCGCTGCGCTACACGACGCCCCCACACTGATGTGTTTTAATAGTTTTCTTTTGACAACAATGCAGCTCTGTGGCATAGAGGAGTAAGATATACTTCATCAGGCTTTGGATACAATCACCCTTATCATATAAATGTGTCACTGCGGCGTGTAAACACTTATTCCCTTTCAGTTTTGAATTTCCTTTTTACTGGCTTATTATTCAAATGCAAGTGCAGAGAAGTCAATCACACAGTGCCACAGATACCCTGTGACTGACTTAACATGGCCTTGGTTACTCTGTATGCAAATGTGGCTCCTATCAGGGATCTGATTACAACTGGGCCCTCACACATTAAATATGAATACATTTTCTGTCCTCTCTTACTCCTCGGATAAAAGCATTGGTGAAGGATTGTATGATTTTATGTCAAAACAAAAACATAATTAATCAGTATGCATTTCTGATATATTCTGCAGTATCTAACAGTGGGGTCCAAAAGTATAAGGCCACATACACCACCAACAGTAGTCCATAGTGACGCGAATCAGAGAAGTCTGGTGGGTAGGAGATCTTCAAAGGTAAATCTGTGAAAAGAAATTAAAGAAAAGCTGATGTACCTATACTGCCGATTTATCTGTGACTCACAGTAACAGAAGAGAAACCAATTTATTCTCACCAAAATGTTCCATTGGAACAGTTCTGAAGTCAGTCAGTTGGATCCTTTTGTACTTCAAGACTGCCTTCAGCAAAGAGTTGTTCTCAAGAATGTAGTAATCTGTAAAAATGACAGCAATGTGTTTAAGAGGTGAAAGAGTCTAGAAATCGTCGCTGCATACAAATGACCAATTGTGAAATGAGGATTTGTGTTTCGAACCAACGATACAGTGAGATGAGATGGAAAGAGTAGGTAAGACAGATAAGATGGTTTCAGACATGGTCTCATTTTGTGGTAAATGTAAATGGTTCAGGAAGCTGAATACATTGCTGGATGTCATCTCTTTAGGGTAAAACTATTGCGAATAAAGGAGAACGTTCTAAATGATTTATTCAGCAAACACAGGTACTATTAAAAAAAAAAAAATTCCGATACCAATAATATAGCAGCAAACATCTACTGTCTATGCAAAGATATAGCGTAAAGGACGAAGTCGCACTCCCTCCGTATGTATTATAATCCGAGGGTCCCTTTTTTTGGTATCCAGTCTGGCAACACTTGCATGTTAGTGCATGTGAGTCCCTCCGGTTTAACCATTGGCCCAACCCACATTTATAAACACACAGGGACCGCCCACAGGTGAGTACACAGTTCAGCATTCAGGTGAAAGCAACCTTCCAGAGCTTCCTCCACTGAAGAAACCACATTTTCATCTAAAAAAAAAGCCTCAGACAAAGAAAGAGATAAGACCAGAGCACTGGTCATGGGGACTCAAATCCCCGTCGGCTGGTGGACAATCAAAACATCCATAAAGTTTTTACTGGCTCCATCAGTGTTATTCATGCAGTTGGTCCCAGCAGACAAGTCCAAGGCTGAATATCTTTTGCAGCCTCTCCGTGGACCAGAGCCAATACTGGTCATACTGGGTATACTGAAAGGAGAACCCTACCAAATGGCTCCAGCTTGACTCAGAACTGGCTTTTCTTTCCATGTATAAGTAACTTGATGCTGCATAATGTCTGCTTTCATTAGTTACCAGCAGCAGCAGACATGATAACGTTAGCTGCTGCTAACATTTAATTCAAACTTTAATAATAGTTTTATTTTTTTATTACGCCCTAATCCTGTGTCAGATGTCCTCATTAGTTTTTATCTTCATCCTATCCTTTATCCTTTACCCTGTTTTTTTTTAGTCTGAGCATTTTAGTCTGTTCTTTTATAACCATACCTAGTTTAGTGTAGTTTTAGTTTTAGTCCTTTTTAGTCATCGGATTATATTGAACATCTCAGTCAAACTAGTCCAGGTTTGTGGTTTTCTTACCAGCTATTTTAAGACCACATTGCTTCCCTTCTGATAAGCAATGCATTAGTTTCTTTTTTTTAGCAGCCTGGGCTCAAATAGCACCTTGTTTCTTTGTCCCGAGCGCAGTTGTTTTCCTTGTTAACAACCAGTAAGTTATTCCTCACTGTGCTCTATACTGTGCTCATTGTGTGCTGCTGGCGAGTGTAGCTCTGATACGATGCACCCAGCTCTGAAAATGGAACTGCTGCATTTAAAAAAACTGTCCATAATATTTTGTCTCCTCTTTTTTGGCAGCAAAAATAAAGAAATAAAGTTTTTATTTTTCAAACTACATTTTAGTCGTCACACAGCAGCCTCAAAAACAGGAGCCCCGCGATTTTCTCCACATGTAATAAACAATGACTATCTGATTTGGCCATTTTTCCATTCAAGCCATCTGAGAAGCAGCTAAATGAAATGGAATTCATCCAGCATTTCTAATGGAAAACCCAAAATCAATAGACGTCTCATTATGAAACCACCAGAGGCCTTGAGTTCCCAGCTGTGGATGGAGGGCCTATCCAAATAACCCTGGGCAAATTGCTTGCTTTTCTGCAGCACAGCTGTTAACTTTTCTGTGTGTATGTGTGTACACTGTGTGTGTGTGTGTGTATTCATGCCTGTGGGAAAGGAAGATTTAAAAAAAGAACAGAAGGAAGAAATCTTGATTTGTAAGCTCGTCTGGTCTTCCTGACAGTGATCGTTTTGTCAGCAAAAACTAAAGACACAAACTAAAGTAATCACTGAGGCCTAAAATGTTTTACAATTTTAGTCAAAGAAAACTAAAACAATAATGTAAAAGATGCCCAGATGGGCACTGCAAACAATTTATGACTTTTTGACTAAATTTGTCCATAATCCCACTTAACACACACACTGTGCTGACCTTAAACGCTACATCCTCAGTGCAGATTGGAGGCTGCAGGCTCATTATCGCAAAGTGACTAGACAGGCCGAGGCTAGGTGCTTAGCGCACTAACTTCAGTAGCTTGCTTTCCACCTCTGGAGACAACTCTTGGAGAGTAAAAGAATGATGTTTGATGCTGAAGCTGCAATGTTTTTTCTAGACCAGGAAGTAAACTGTTAATGCTAACGCTATGTAGCAATAGCAAAACTTACACTTAGCTACTCCAGTGACAAGTTAAGCTAGCATTAATGTAGCGTTACTTTCAGTCAACTATCTTTCATGTTTATAGAAGATGAAGATGATTGATTTGCCTTATGCACAGAACAAGTGAATGGAGGGAGCAGGTAGCTACAATGTCATGTCAACAGGAGTGAGGGAGTGGCCATGTTCAGACAGCCAGAGTCACTGAAGCTAAGTATGACCTGCAGTGAAATAAATTAGATACAACATAGTTAATGAGCTTCAGAGGTGCTAATAGGTGGATTTCGCCACCTTTGGATAGAGTCAGAGTAGCTGTTTCCCCATGCTTCCTGTTGTGCTAAGCTAAGTTAGCTGGCTGCTAGCTGACAGATCTCACCTAACTTTCAGAAAGCAAACAGCAGTAACAATCACGTGCCACTTCTTCAGATTGTGTTCTTCAGATTATGTCTCTTGGTAGTAGAAGGAACACGTATGATGCTGGTTAAGGTGTGGCACGTCGTGTTCCCACATCATTTATTTCTCAATTAATCTCTAAGAAAAAGAAACACACCTGCAGCATAGGTTACTGCTCACTCTCACAGACATAGGCTCTGTGGAATGAATGGAAGTCGTGCTTGTAATTCACACAATCTATCATGGGGAATGGTACAAGGTGGATAAACAAGTAAACAGTGTCTTTTCAGCTAACTTTGGGACAGTTGCAAACTCCTGTAACCATGGCAACAGCTGTAAAAATTCACTGCAAGAATTAAATTTCTCACAAAGACCCTCAGACAACAGCAGCTTGTTCAGAACAAGTTCCAACACGAACTTAAATCTTCAGACCGGTTTACAGCCTCGGACCAAAACACACACCTGACATGCTTGAAGGATGGAAACCTAATTGGTCCCTCAGATGTTTAGGAGGCACTCAGCTGAATCAGCCGCATTTAGTTACTATGCTGCTCACAGGTGAGACCAACTTCCTGATGATGATTCAATCATTTTCCTTACTGCATTTCGATCTATTTCCTTTTTGTGTTTTTTAATCCATTCATTTGCCTTGTGCACAGACGACACACATGATGAACTTGATTGTGCTCAGACAGAATTTTTCAATGCAAAATAACAGAATGAGTTTTTTTTTTTCCTGCTTATTTTTTCATAGCTGAATAAGTTGCATCGTCTTGATCAGTGACTCTGACAGATGTTTGAAACCACATCTTCCAGTGGGTTCAGTCTTGGTTTTCTTGTGAAAAACTAGGGCACCCTGCAGACAGTGATTAAGATGGTCATCACATCCCCGTCTTTCCCACAAGACTAAATGGAGTTCTTACTTGAATTATTGAGGCTGTGTAAGATCACAGTAGGGGCTCCAGGACCTAAAAGGATAAAAAAGAAGCTTGTAAGTAATTTAAACATTATCCTGTTTCTCTGCAGTGTGTGCTGTGTATAAATTTAAAAATTAGAAAGTGAAATCTTTGGTGTTGTTCAAACCAGAACAATAAAAGGACACTGTGTGACAGATTGCTTCTCTAAAGTAGTTACACAAAAGTCAAACACATGCAGTCGTTCCTCGATTTTGCTTGTCACCTACCCTAACTTACCTGCATCAATTAGGGGTTAAAGGTCACCCATACTGCCTCCCTAATAGCCTCAGACTGTCAAATTAAGCCAGTTCCTTTCAATGTCCTTTTGCAAAATACTTAGTCAGAGGTTAATAGGATGGCAGGTTCGCTCAAAAGCTGAGCCACGGATGAATGGCTCCCCTGGCAGCTGCAAAACTCCTCCACAAACACATTCCTCCTGCTCCACCGTCTTTGCACTGAAACACAAACTGCAGCTCTTGCTTGCCATTTCATTTCTTGAACTTCTCTGTTGTATTAGCTTTGACCTTTGCATTCTTGAGTCACGTAGGGAAATGGTTTCGTTATGTGCATGTACCTGCCTGAAAACACGAAACCAATCAGAATCATTTTATGAGTGGAATTAAAAGGCCTGTGTAGCTCTTGATGAAAACAGGTGTCAGGACAAGCTTGTCAGGGTTACGTGAACTTGGCCCTCGGAAGACAATTAGCTTTCTCCATAATTTTTATTGCTTTTGGGAATTGGAACATTATTATTGTCCAATAAATCACCTCACCAAAGCCCAAATGCTTCTGAGCATGAGGTGATCTCATCTGCGCAAAAATAAATTGAAATCACAAACAGTATGAGGAGTTACACTCTATTAAATAAGCTACCTCATAACGCTAGCTAAAAGTAATTATACACAATAGAGTGGCTAATTGTTTTCATTTTATGCCTCTCATTTGGAACTGATGAGAGATGAATTTAAAACTGAATAGATGGAGGGTGACAGATTACAGTGGGCAAACCCTGACATCTGCCAGATGATCTCTGCTGGAAAGAAAATGGCTGAATAAATTAGGAAAATAAAGCAATATAATTTTAATTTCAAAAAGGTGGATTTGAATGTGTTACCTGCAATCATCTGCTGCAGTGTTGTCTTCAATTGTACCATTAATTTGAACTCATTTATTATTTATTAAGTTTAGTGCACTCAAAGATGCTTAGATTATCACATAGGATTGGGTGATGTGGCTTTTAAACAATATCGCAATACTTTAAGGCTATATCGTGATACGCAATATATATCTCGATATTTTGAAGCACTCCATAAATGTGCAATTTAACCCTTTGATGCATAGAATCACACCATTATGACGATTATAATCCATGCAACATTTAAAACATTCTTGTTTACTGTTTATTCATTTGTGGTTTCTATTGGAACTATGTTAAATTTGCATGCAAAAAAGGAGAAATAACAACCAAGTTAAATCTGACGCTTAACAAAAACAGTGTTGAAAGTATGGATGATCTTACTTTGGCATATGATCTACTTTTCAGATGAATCGTTCAGATCACATCATTCAAGGGTGCCATATCTAAATATTTAATTTTAGAAGTTCAATCGCTGCTAACCAGCCCATTGTTAACTGTTAAGCAGCCAGCGACAGCAGTCCTCGTTCTGCTCTGCAGGTTTGGCGAGCTTTGTGTAGCAGCACATGAACCAGTTCTCCACCTGAGCAGAACAACAACCACCATCACCAGCTGCAGTCCAAGAAAGTGGAGTTACAGTCCGTCTGCGGAATGAGGGTGCTCCAAATGAACTAGGCAAAAGTCTGATTGGTTGTAACACAGTTTGTAAACAGAAGACAGCATGGTTGGTGAATATTCGGTATATCGTCCACCCATATTATCACATTTTATCATCTGTATCGATCTCATGAACAATGGGTTACTATGGAAGTAAACACTAACACTGTAACTAGGCTTTAATATACAATGCAGTGATACTGGATTGGAGAGACATTCAATGGATGATACAACGTGCTGATGTCAGGCAGTTTATTTCAAGGAAAGCCATAATGAGAAATATTTTCATTTACTGAATGAACAAAGCATATTTATACCGTAAGTGATGCGGGGCAACTTGCTATACCCTCCCATCATAGAAAACTGCATATCACTTTGTTAACTTGTTGGCTGCAGAGCAAAAACATGAAGTCTGTGTTTGGATATCAGTTTTTATTCAAACTTATATATTAGTTTCTCTCTGTGTAAAAATCAAGAACTGTGTTGAGGATGGTGTGGGTGGAGATGGATTGTCTGCCATTGTATTGCAGCTGGTATCCAGCACCAATTCCTGCTTTTGAACAATGAAATCAAATCCTTGAACAATTCTGTAGACCCATTCTTGTAATTACACCTCACCCTCAAACCCCATTTCACTTGGAAATACGTCACATTATGGAAACAGCACACACTGAGAGTTTAACAACAGACACTGGAGGAGCCTTGAAATAGGATAGCCTACCTTTACAGTGGAGGATGATGTGCTGGTTTGTGGGGCTGATGTCAGCATCAAAGTACAGGCAGTGAGCTTTATTTAACTCGCATGTTAAACACCGTCGTGGGAACAGACCCACAGTTTTAACACTGAGGAGAGAAGATATTAAATTAGTAAGTAAGACAAGGTGCACAAAACTTTATCACCATTAAGGGTGGTGTTGGCTTTACTTTATCTTTTCATTATGGTGAAAAAAATCCCCTTAAAAATCCCCAAAACCAAATATGAACCTGTGCTGCTAACAAGTATTAACTATGTAGTCATTATCACTTATGGTGCATGACGTGTGTGGCAGAGAGGCTGCTCCCTGCAGAGCCCATACATCTTATATCAGAACCACTCTTGTCAAACTTTTGGACACAGACCTGTCGGAGCTGCTGCGCTACAGTAACTCAGTGGAGACTTGGGGCTTCTCCGTGTGTTAGCCGTCTAGCTAGTGTCTACTGATTGCCTGTATGTTAGGCGTTTAGGGAACATTGGTAAATTGGGGTCACAGTCTCCCCTCTCTAAACTGCATCTCTGCATGCACGCAGCAACATCCAACACCACAAGTAAATTCTCAACCTGTGAAAAACACATTGCCAACAATGGAATGGGACAGGAGTATTTTTGTGGGATTGGACAGGAGTGAAACATCCAATCCCATGTCACCCTCTTGTAGTCACAACCTGATACAGGTTACACACCATAGCAAAAACTTCATTGTCAATTCTCCAAAAACTGTTAGTTATTCAGTTGATATGAAACTATTATATTTAATTATTCTTAATTAATTATTATTCTTTAAAACATTTTTTCTCCAATGTGAGAATTTCTCAGTCGTCATATTATTTCATAACAATCTACGCTGACTGTGTGTATTATAATGAAGGAGTGGAGTTCACCAGAACACAACAATAATATTCTATTGTTGTGTTATGTATTTTTAAACAGTGGTCACATGGTCAGAAATTCATTGTAGATATTGATCTTTTAAGTGTTGATAGTAATTAAAAGACAAAATGATACTAATGTGCAGATACTGTATTCACTATAAATGAAATGGTAGTATTCAAAAACAAAAACGGAGCAGACATAATACAAACACCAGTTTAATAAGAGTGTTTTGCGAGAGCCCTGCAAAGTTGACAAATGTCAAAAATATATTTTATTTAATCAAAACACTCTGTGACTGCACACTGGAAAGATGTTTAAGAATAATAGCTGTAAACAGTGGGTGCTGTATAACGACCGAGTGCAAAACAAACCTGAAAAGTTGTCGTCTTCGTGGTGAACCCTCTGTGCTGAGAAAATAACTGTCAACAGAAAACAAAAACAATAAGATTAAAGAGGTGTGCTCAATTAAACACTAATCCTCATTATGTCTTTTGTCATTTGTCTGCAAAACACACACTCTTTTGTGTACAGCGCCAGTGTGGTATTCACAGCGAAATGAAGAGAAAAGGAGAAAATGTACTGTAGCCTTCACTGTCTCGTCTCATGTGTGACTCATCAGTGGACAGACCGGATGATTAAAGCTCCATATTTTCTCCTGTGTTTTATTTTGAAGTGTTGATCCATAAGAAGATATATTTATGGTTTTAAGAACAAAAAACAAACTCAATGGAGTGTTACATCTCCTCTCTCACGCTTCTCTCTGGAGCTCTAGTAACAACAGGTCAGTGAGCCAATCAGAAGAGAGGAGGCTCTGAGCCTCTCTTCTGTTTTCTGAATGATCCAATAAAAATATATCAGATTTCAGGTAAAACACTAAGAGAAACCAAATCCTGCAAGGTTGGATGGTGGGTCCAGGTGGGCGGGGCTTTGGGGCATGGCTGAAGGCGGTGACTGTTTTGTTATGACATCACGAAGTTCCATAAGTCCTGACGGCTGGTTTTAAGGCTCAGTTTTCTGAATACAGGCTGTGTGCATTTCTCTGTGGACTGAGGCTTTGATACTTTCACAGTATTAATATAGAACCTAGACCTGCTTTATGATCAAACAACACATGGACATCTGCCTTTATACTATATGGGACCTTTAAATAACTTCCTGTCTGAAACAGGTTAAACTCACAGGTTGTCAGTGTTCTCATCATAGGCGATGATCCTGGTCACCTCCCAGTTTCCTGATGTTAGATGCCGGACTTCGTTTTGATCTGCTCTGAACTGAGAGAAACAGAGGAAGATGAGGATATTTATTTGAATATGTCCATCTAATATGTTATTTTTTTTCTTCTGTATGCTCAGACCTCAGCTGTATGATGTACATTAGAGACCTTGAGTTCTTACCAGAGAAACAACAGCATTAGTCATTTGTTCAAAGGCCTGGGTCTATACTTGTATAATGACATAGGTGTATTATTTCCTGTAGTTATGTGAATAACATTTGTTTGTCAGCGGCATAGGTGGAAGTAACATTACTATGCAAAATCTTTTAAGATGTGTTCAGACTGAAAGTGAAGTGAGTTTCAGATACATGATGTGATTACATATAATATATATAAAATATATATAGAGTATACAGTGGTGGTATATATACAGTGGTGGCCAAAATTATTAGAACACTTGGCATATTTAAGAAGTTTCAGTTGTTTTTGTTTAATTGGCCATTAAAATACCCATAAAACGAATAAATTATCTACAAAGTCATCATCATGCTCTATAAACCATAGAATAGAGCCATCGTAAGGAGATTTAGGTAATTAATAATAATAGGTAAATAATAGGTAAATCCTTACAAAAAACAAGCTAGGCCTATTTCACTATCAATGTCACACAATCATGTTCCTTCACAGAAGAAGCCAAATTACTTGTGTAATCATTGTCAGGTGTGATTGTGGTTAAATTGATGGTGATGCAAGAGTCTTAGGACACAGCTGTTTGATTCTTTTGAATGTACAAGGCCTCTCCTGCTCATTAAGTGATTGGTAACATCAGGGTTTTGTCACTGAGGCCAAACCACCAGTTGGTATAAATCCAAAGCCTCTAGAAGTTGTCTTGAAGCACATGTTGCTCTTTGAACATGGCTAAGGTGAAGAAGGAGCTAACGAGTGAGCAACAGGTTCGAATAAAGGCCCTTTTTGATGCTGGCTGGAGTTACTGCCGCATAGCCAAGGACTTGAGATGCAGTCCAAGCACTGTAAAGTACACTTTAGACCGCCAATTCACACCAGAACCGAAAGGGGAGAGGTAGAAAAAATAAACTTTCAGACAGACAAGTGAAGCATCTCAAAATTCGGTCTTAAGGACCGAAGAAAGACCTCACGAGAACTGCGTGACGAGATCAACACCACAGTGACTAATGGTGCAACAGTGTCTTCAAGAACTGTGTGTCAGGAACTGGGAGAAGAAGGACTTGTTGGCAGAATAGCAGCAAAGAAACCATTACTGAAAGAGGAAAAAATAGAGTGAAATGGCCGAAATTTGCAAAAGAACACAAGAAATGGACAAAGGAAGATTGGTACAAAGTGTTGTGGACNATATTTAAGAAGTTTCAGTTGTTTTTGTTTAATTGGCCATTAAAATACCCATAAAACGAATAAATTATCTACAAAGTCATCATCATGCTCTATAAACCATAGAATAGAGCCATCATAAGGAGATTTAGGTAATTAATAATAAAAGGTAGATAATAGGTAAATCCTTACAAAAAACAAGCTAGGCCTATTTCACTATCAATGTCACACCATCATCATGTTCCTTCACAGAAGAAGCCAAATTACTTGTGTAATCATTGTCAGGTGTGATTGTGGTTAAATTGATGGTGATGCAAGAGTCTTAGGACACAGCTGTGTGATTCTTTTGAATGTACAAGGCCTATCCTGCTCATTAAGTGATTGGTAACATCAGGGTTTTGTCACTGAGGCCAAACCACCAATTGGTATAAATCAAAAGCCTCTAGAAGTAGTCTTGAAGCACATGTTGCTCTTTGAACATGGCTAAGGTGAAGAAGGAGCTAACGAGTGAGCAACAGGTTCGAATAAAGGCCCTTTTTGATGCTGGCTGGAGTTACTGCCGCATAGCTAAGGACTTGAGATGCAGTCCAAGCACTGTAAAGTACACTTTAGACCGCCAATTCACACCAGAACCGAAAGGGGAGAGGTAGAAAAAATAAACTTTCAGACAGACAAGTGAAGCATCTCAAAATTCGGTCTTAAGGACCGAAGAAAGACCTCACGAGAACTGCGTGACGAGATCAACACCACAGTGACTAATGGTGCAACAGTGTCTTCAAGAACTGTGTGTCAGGAACTGGGAGAAGAAGGACTTGTTGGCAGAACAGCAGCAAAGAAACCATTACTGAAAGAGGAAAAAATAGAGTGAAATGCCCGAAATTTGCAAAAGAACACAAGAAATGGACAAAGGAAGATTGGTACAAAGTGTTGTGGACTGATGAGTCCAAGTTTGAACACTTTGGCGAAGAGTGTATGTTCGACGGAGGGAGGGGGAGAGATATAAAAATGAGTGTCTCTTGCCAACAGTTAAACACGGAGGAGGTAGTATTATGGTGTGGGGCGCCATTTCAGCCTCAGGAACTGGTGACTTAGTGAAAACTGATGGCATCATGGATAAGAAAGTATACCACAACATTCTGGTGAGGTACGGAGAACCATCTGGGAGTCGTCTTATTGGGCCTGGATTTATTTTCCAAGAGGACAATGATCCTAAACATTCTTCTAACTATTGCCGGAACTACCTGCGACAGAAGGAATCTGCTGGAACATTGAAAATGATGGACTGGCCCCTCAAAGTCCAGACCTCAACTCCATCGAGTTGGAAAATAAACTGGACAGATCTATTGCACATTCAAAGGAAAGCATTTGGCTTGAGTTGCAGAAGTCATGGGGTAACATTAGTGTTGAAGTTCTCAGAAAATATATTGACACTAAGCCAGAGAGATGTGCTGCTGTAATTGCTGCAAAAGGCGGACATACCAGATATTAAAGTTAACAGTGGATAAAAACAGTGGGACTCACTTCATCTGATATTTGCTGTGTTCAGAGCAACCATCTGCATGTTTCATGAACATTGTGAAATGAAATCATGTTTTGGAGGCAAAAAAACAGGTCAGTATTTTCAGATCTGTCAGGTGTTCTAATAGTTTTGGCCACCACTGTAGTAACTGCAAATTATTGCAAAAAAAAAAGTTGTTTCTCCAATTTCTTCTTTATTACTCAACACATTTAAAGTAGTAAAAGTTGAAAGGGGATTTTAAGTATATGCTGTTAGAAACACACAGGAACAGTCCACACATATGCGATTGTTGCTATGGTGCCAGACGATATTTTGGCAGTTTTTTTAGGCCAAATTAACATATACGGGAAAAACACTCCAGGCAAATATGAACACGCCTTAAGGGAAAAGGCCAGGTGGATGGTTGGGCATAGAATGCAGCTGTCATTAAGCGAAACCATGACGGTATAACAATTTATTCAAATCATATGCACATCCAGATTTGTTTCTTACTGGGGCTAGGTTTGTAGTTAATACAAGAATAAACAAGGCTGGGGACCAGTATGTGGTATTTCAAAGTCAATTCTGAAGTACCATGCCCAGTAGAAAGACTTCTAATGATTCAAAAGTGCTACACAACAGCAATCTCAGTTTAAAAACAAAAATATGAAAAACTAAGTTAAGCCCTCTGAAAGGAATAGTAGAGAGGACAGAAGGCAGGCAGAGAGAGAAACAGACAGCTGACACAAACATTAACAGCTGATAAACAGACAGAGTACACAGCTCACATCTTGACAAACAAACACAGACCAGGATACAGCATATCTTCAAAAAGTGACATCTTTAATGAAAGACTTTTCATCCAGGAGTGCTGCTCATACCAGTGCTCTCTGAGGCGGGAACTGACTTTTACACAGCATATATTGGCTAACACTGCCTGGAACACTGGAGGAGCTACTGTAACACACTGCAACACTGTATCTACAGAGGAGCTGTAGCGTGAGCGGCACGTTAGCAGAGCAGCAGCGTATCTCCACAGGAGGCGAATGACTGTGCTTTCGGTCGTGTTTGTGGGCGTATCATGTGAGTAGAATGTTAAACTGTTACGTGACCGCTGGATTGATTGAAATAGAGCATATGTGTTCTGTCAGACGCCGGGGAGATGGATGACTGAAAAAAATGGCTGAAACGTTTTCTGCATGTAGATGCTTTAACAGGGGGTCTCCACTCTCTCCTTCTTCATTTTCCTCCACTATCTCGTTTTCATTCGTTTCTGGTTCCTCCTCCAAGGTTGTTGGATGATGAAACAGAGCTTTTTTATCAAGCTGCTACCACGGCAAAGCAAATATTATTTAAATAAGTACAAATTTACTTACATAAACAAACCCTGCGACAAAAGCAACACAAACTCACCCAGTCAAGTTTCAGGCATAGAAAGTTGCTACGGCAATTGAGTGGGACGTCCACTGGCTGTGTGAATCATTACTATGATCTGTCAGGAGCACTGGACTGTACAAAAGTACTGTGACATTCTCGTAGGGCCACAAAAGTAGTGCTGGTTAAAAATATATTTTTATTTTCAGCAATGCATTAGACAAGGATGTGCGGTGTAACTGCCAGAAAATGTTCTGTAGGTTGTTGCGGTACCTGCTGGAGCCACTAGGTGGTGTCTCCGACTGTTTAATAAGATTAATGAGGTTACTCGTGTTTGCTGACCGACTGTAAGGGCCCAACTAATTATAAAACAAATGCAACAGTATATGTGCATCCCTGGGACATCTGTCTCAGCTGAGCAGGTGTTGCCAGCAGTTCATGTAGATAAGTTATGTGTAATAAAGCCAGTGTCCACCGTAGAGAGATTGGGGGAACCTGTAACATGTTAATTTGATAACGTTACGGGCTATTAACTGTTGAAGGCTACAGCCCTTTAGACAAAGGAAAAATGTGTCAGACTTTGTTTTAATTGTTAGATAGACTCATCAAGCACTTGATTAGGAACACCTGTACGCCTACAATGCATTAAATCATGTAGATGATTGTTGGTGTCACATGGGTTGGTTTGAGTATTTCCAAAACTGTTGCGCTCCTGAGATTTACACACATAGTTTTTACTCAGAATGGAGGGAAAACAAAAAGCATCCAGTGAGCAGCAGCTCTGTGCCATTGAGAGAGGTCAGAGGTCAGAGGAGAATGGACAGACTGGTTGGAGCTGACAGAAGGGCTACGGTCACTCAGATAACCACTCTTTACAACTGTGGTGAGGAGAGAAGCTTCAGAGTGTCCAACACGTCCAACCTTGAGGTGGATGGACTACATCAGGTAAGTCTTCCTGTCACCAAGACCAGAAACCTGACACTCACCAACACTGGACAGATGAACACCTGGTCTGATGGATCTGGATCTGTGCTGAGGCAGCAGATGGTAGAGTCAGAGTCTGAATCCATGGAGACAACCTGCCTTGTGTCAACAGTCCAGGCTGGTGGTGGAGGTGTGGTGGTGTGGGGAATGTTTTCTTCTTAACACCAATCAATCCTGGTCTGAATGTCTCAGTCCGTCTGAGTATTGTTGCTGACCATGTTCAACCTTCATGGCCCCAGTTCACCATCTTCTAGTGGCTCCTTCCAGCAGGATCATGCTTCATGTCACACACTGGCTTCGTCAACATGACAGTGAGTTCAGTGAACTTCAATGTTTGCTGAGTGAATGTACAACACGTTCAGTCTGATCTAAGAAATGTTCTCCAATGAAGCCTGGAAGTTGAGCAGCATTGTCTGCTATGTTTAATACTTTGGACTTCGTTTGACCAATTTTTTTTAACCAATGACCACCATCAACCACCCAACCCCTAACCCAAACCAAATAGTTATTTTGACCATGACCAAACCCAAACCTTAACCACAGAGGTGACAGATCTAAAAACACCAACATGAATCATATCTGTAACACTCATTTGGGCGCCACATTCATAAACACAATTTTCACACTGGTTCTTTTATTTGTAGAAACATTTTTCAGATGTAATTATATTCTGCTGGTTCAGCCAGTGATTTATTAATCCAACAACTGATATTGCACGAATGTTTTATTGGAGAAAATGTTGCTATAATTGGAATAAAATGTGAGTAACCTCTGCGCTTCAAAAACACCACAGACACTATTTATAGCTCACCAACCCTGCCCTCCAAAAACCCAGTTTCTACTGACAGTGCAGAAATCCAACATGCCACTTGTTTTTATATCTGTGCTGATGAGAACAGGCTCTATTTGTTGGATTTTGTGTCTATATTGGGTCGGAGGAAAGTAAATAAATGAGTTTCTTGATTATGGCAAAACTTCAATTAATGGTCCAACAACAGAATGACAGAATGGTAACTATTTGAGAGCATACACTCGACTGCAGCTTAAATAAAACAGCTCTATTGAAGTTATGGCAACACACAACATCCATCCTATGCAAGCCAACAATATAATGCTAAAAGTTGCAGTTCCTCTAATGACCACTAGACACCGGCTCCAACAGTGAGTCAGTCCCCATAGACTCCCATGTTAAAATGTTCATTTTTACAGCAGAAATAAACATGTTTACAGCCTGGTACAAAAACTGTTTTGGTCTCTAGAGCTAATTTCCTCCTTCATGACATCTGTTTATATAACTCACCTGTTTACATTTTATTAAGGCTTAAAATTATGTATAACTGAAGGTGTGGCCTCTTTGAGTGACAGGTGGGTGAGCAGCACAACCGGCATGCACAGATGTCTCAGCTCCACACACACACTCCGCACCCATTTTGGAATTAGCTGTGAGTTAGGTGGAGTCAGGCACTGCCAAGATGGTGACGGCGGAGCAGCTCACTCTGAGCTTCAAAACCACTCCGTCAAAACCTATGGTTACGTTCATCTTTATTTAAAGTCCATGATCGTATAAGAATGGAGGGTCTATGTGTGTGAAAACTGTGGCTATCAACAGCTCCAACATAAAGTTAAGTTGACAATAAATTGGACCGTCACCTGTGTGGTGAACATGGCGATGTGATGAAACTCTCCACGACCTCCTTGTTTGACCGGAACCGTCAGGAAGAACCTGTTGCCGTCTTTGGAGAACACCGGTTCTTGGTTCTGCAAGAAGCAAAGATGCATCAACTGCACAGCATCTATCACCTATAAACACATTCCTATTTAAGCCTGGATCTAAACATTGGGCAAATTCTTCAACCGTGTCTGATATTTATTCATTGTTGCAAAAAGGTGTGAAACATAATTGTACGTATGCCTTTTTCAGTGGCTTCCATTCCATTAACTGTTGATTCCGACTGCATGAACATGAAGTAGATAAAGATGATGATGATAATGAGAGATGGGCAAAAATCCTCCACAGCCAAACAACTTTTTTAGCCTAAAAGTAGTAATCTGCAACAATTTCATACAAATATATTTCCATTCTGCCTCTGCTGAGACTGCTGACTGATGTAACACTGAATGTGTGAATCCATTTCCAGGAAGGGTAATGAAAGGTAAGCATGACCAGCAGAGAGAACGCAGCACCATGTACCATCTACTGGCAACTCAAACAGTGGTTAAAAGTAACAAAGTGCATTCATGCAAGTGCTGCACTTAACACAGCACTCCACTCACTGATTTCGCACATGAACACCAGTTTACTTATTATAGCGAATACTACACATGTCTGTGGCTCTGGATGGGCTCTCACAAATCTGGGAAAATAACCCTGCTGATGTCATAGTGATGTCATCAGGGTTATCTGGGACTGGATCTGGGGATTTAAATTTTACAACTGGAAAAGCCTCCATTACAAACTGGAGACATGGTGTTTGAAAGATATGAGTTTTTGCTCGGTAGGTAGTTTAACTGAAAGTTGCATTTAGTTGCTATTAGTTTCATTATGGGAAATGTAGGATCTAGTGTTTCAGGGGCTTGAGGCATACGAGGGACTAAAAGTGAAGATATCTCAGGATGAACTGGTGCATATATTTTGACCGTTTTTATTTTAAATCTGTTCCTTGTTAGAACCCAGACATTATCTAGTTGCAGGATTAATTTGCTGTAGTGCAATCCATGTTTTGTTGATTGTGCATTGAATAGAAGTAAATATAACCCCTGCAGCAAACAGACATAAAAAAATTCTTCAAATGTTAATATTACTTTTTATTGAATGTACTTTAAAAGTAGAAAAGATTAAAGAGTAATTTTGGGGCATACGCAGACGTTTGGGCAGACTGGAGACTGTGGGGGCTTCAGCTTGTGTTTTTCTTCATGGGGGATTTTGAGGTCTGCTTTGGATCCTTGTCCTGATGTAGGAGCCAGCCTCTCCTCACTGTCACTTTCTTGACTGACTGCATCCAGATATTTAGCAGAATCTTTTCTTCCCTCTGGCCATACAATGTGTCCTGTCCCTCTGGCTGCCACGCAACCCCAAAGCAGAATATTTCCACCCACATGTTCAACAGTTGGCATGGTGTTCTGTTCTCCAGACACACCTTTGATGAGCTCAATTTTAACTCCATCTGTCTGCAGTACTTGTTTCCAAAAGTGAGCAGATGTCACTTTGCATAGCTCAGACAGTGACTTTCGTAATGAGGTCGAAGGTAAGGTTTCTGTCTGATGCCTCGTCCCTGTCGACTGTTTGTGCATCAATGCTGCCCGGTGAAGTTGTCGGCCACCACTCCCGTGTCAGCTAATCCTTCATATGGGTGTTTTGCTTCGGCTTTCTGCCCAGCTGTTTCCTCTGCAGGTTTTCTTGGTCTTCCATATGTTGTCTTGACTTCCACAATTTGCCTTAAGTACAATTTATAAATGACATTTCAGACAATGGAAACTGCAAGCTGGAAGCACTTTGATATCTTTTTATAGGCCTTCCCTGCTGTGTCGGCATCAATTAGCTTCACTTTACTTCCTCAGTCAGTTTCTTGAAGAGGCCATGTTGTTTGTTAACACAAGGTTCAAGAGTCTGAGGATTTACCCGCTCCGGATTTGTCATCAGATTTCTTATCTGATGACCTAATCCTTGACCTGCCTCACAAGATCTAAAGATTCAAAAAGGCTGGTAATGATGTTACCAAGTAGAATACAACTGACGTACTTTCATGCTCGTTAATGTTCGTTTGCTGCAGGTGTTGGATTTAATTCCTTTCATTTCAAAAATCAACTAAATATGTAATGTACTTACTAATGTCATGGGTGCCTACAAATGTACTCAAGTACTTTAATTCTGTGCAGTAATGGAAAAATAAAAAAGTACACTTACTCACTCTGAATTATTGTACACCACTGAAGAATCACAGACATGAGTTACATTTAAAATTCGTATATAAATATAATCCGTCTGAGTCTTCACTTGTTTGTTCATAAAACTGCTTCAAATGCTCAAACAAACTGGCTTCAGCAGTAGTAGATGCGCCTCTACCGTCTGGACCACTAACGCCGCCAATGCTGGGCCGTATCTATGGAGACGTCATGTGGCGTGCCGTAAAACTGTCGTAAAACGTGAGCAGCGCCTGCTCACGATCACGTTCATCATTTGTAAACTGATTCGTTCAGTTCACCGTTCACTAAAAGTGGTGAAAGTCATGGTTCAATAAACAGCGTTACAACAACGTAATAATATAACTCTGACAGGGGTTAGTACTTTTACTTTTGACACTTTAAACACATTTTGCTGTTAATGCTTCTGAAATCAGGACTTCTACATGTAACACACTATTTGTATGTGCAGCTACTTTTACTTAAATGAAAGAACCTTCTTCCACCACTGATTTTCTGTTACTTTATACACTACTCCACCACATTTCAGAGGCAAATATAGATTTATTTCACTACATGTATTTGGCAGTTATAGCTACTAGTTTCTATCCAAATCAATATTTTGATAACCACTAGTGAACATGTAAATAATACATGTAATTACCAAAAAACAGATCAAAATTGAATCCATCTTGACCACAAACTACATGAAAATGCTGACCGATATGTAACTAATAATAATCCAATAATTAAATATTTAACACTAACATGAGCCTTTATGGTTGCATACTTAATAATTTTACTTTAAATAGTTTGAATTTATTTTGATGATAATATTTTTGAAATCAAGACTTTTACTTTTTACTTTTTTACAAGACTTTGACTTATACTTATTTTTGCTTATTGGTATTGTTACTTCGTGTCCAGTAACATCTGAACACTTCACAGAGAAAATCACTGCCAATAAAAATCACCTGTCGCAAAGTGACGGAAATCTTATTTAACCTCATGAGATGTTTTAACCACATCCAAATCAGCAGACGTTCCTGCTGTGCATTGAGGCAGTGCTTAACTGAATAGTTCACATTTAAAGCTGAAAGTTGTGTAACCGACACTGAATATATCTCTCAGCCAGTAGCTCAAACACATTCTCAAGCACAGATGGAGAGAGTTTACACAGAATGAGCCTTTGGCATTTTCAAGAAAATTGCTGTAGATCTGTCGAAGTCTTACGCGGTGATCTTACATAAAAATACATTTGCAAAGGCTCTCTCTCTGCACTGACACAACCTCACAGTTGGTAAATGAGCATCTCACAGATTACCACCTTAACAAATACAAGCAGCTTTGTGTGCCAAGGTTGTCAAGTGGTTAAATTACCCACAGCTACGGCCAAACATGTACGGCTGCAGGGCTATACGATCAAATCCTGTCAGGAACTTTCTCTCGTCTGCCTCCCTCTCTGTAAATAAAACAAGCTGAAGCTGAGAGCAGACTGCGCTCGCTCGTCTAAACACAGCCAAAGTGACTGTGTCTCATTCTGAACTCAGTAACAGTTCAGATTATTATTTCATCACATCTAAATGGAACTAGCGACAGTGTTTGGCTTCTGCCTTGCTAGCTTTTATTTGATCTCAGTATGTCCATAGCTCTCCTGAAAATACTAGTGCAAAGAGGCTGATTATTAAATAATTGAACTGTACAGTGAGGTCAAGGTTATTTAAATACTTCACTACAGTGAAAACACCATAAAAAGCTCAATTTGAGCTGTAATTCTGCATATTTTTTTTTTGATTAGTTCTATAAATTGAATAAAAACACTGATTTAAATGACTGCATCTTTGATTTTCAACCTGCCACATATACCCAACATATCTATATTGTCTGTATCTCCAAAGGAAGACTCTGTTCTTTGCTTCTAAATCCAGCATGTGGCGGAGCAGCAGGGAGGGCTGAGGTTTCAATGGTTTCAGAGTCTGAAAATGATGTGCTGAAGAGACTGGCCCCATTCAGACCAGTTCAGACCTGTTCAAACCAGTTCAGACCTGGAATTAACATCCGATCACAAGTGGTCAGCTCTAAGTTCAGTGTGAACGCACCCAAGACATTCAGAGGTGGTGTGGACCACATGTGACCTCATTCTTTTAGCAGTGTGAACACGAACGTGTCCTGAGCCACATCGAAGGACAGACTACTCTACTGACGTCCTCTGACACAGTCTGTGTCAGGGAGTTTTCCTGGTCGGCCGCTGAAAAATTTGGAGACAAAAAAAAAAACTGCAGCTGAAAATCGATTGTTATGTGCCTTGATCGACTGGACCATAGTGTTGTGCGATTACTGGCGGGGCCATGTGGGTCCGCCCCTCCCCCTTTCCTACGGAAGAAGAATATCTCGGCAAAGACAAATTCCTGAGACCATGCAAGTCCGCCACCGCATGAGTCCTTCTAACTGCTGCTCAGCATGTGTTTGTGTGATCAGGTGAACAGAGTCTTCCTTCAAGATGCAGACAGTACTGAGGAGTTTGAACATACAAATACACTGAGATGAGATGAAAAATTGTCACACAATTTGGAAGATACTGAGTTAGAGGTGTCATTTAGTGAAATTATAGGCATATTACTACAGACCCGCAGGGAACGCAGAGAAACCTTACCTGCTTGGAGAGCCAGAGCTCGGAGCTTTCTTCATGTCTCTGAAAAAGGAGTCAAAGGAAAATGTCAGTCTGGTGTTTATTCACCAAAACCATCAAAATCCTCTCATCTTTTACAGCCTTTCCTTTTCTGGTGCTGCTTTTCTACACAGAGGGTTGAAAACTGTGAACAATGGAACAGAATTATAGATGCAGTATAATCACATTGTGTCTAAAAATGAGTTTTCTATTATGTCAGCAATATGTGTGGAAAAGTGTTATATTGTTTTTTTTTTTTTTTTTTTCATATTTTTCACACTTCAGTGAAATGTTTTCCAGACAGAATCATCTGTCACATAATGGACTCCTTATTTTGCTGTTTATTTTAACACACCACTGGGGATACCACTCACGGTCTGGGCGCCTCATTTCAACCCAATATGCATGAGCGGGAGCCAGAGTTTTGGCAGGGGATTCTGGATGTTGAGTCCAGGCCCGAGCTAAGCTGCCTCTTGGCTTGGGCGGTGTGTTTGTTCCTGCAAATCACACCAAATCAGGAGCCACAGCACTGGAGAGCAGCCTGTTGAGTCCCTCAGTTCAACTGCGGGGTTAACACCGCTCTGTGTCATCCAAATACAGAGACAATATGGACGGATTGTGCTCCAGCAGATGTGCTGCGATTTCACCAAAGATTTCTCACAGCCAAATAATTAGTAGTTTTAACAGACACAACAGTTCTGGCCAAACTCGACCTCTCGAATCCTCTTCTCCCGTCAAAGTGAAGTGTCGTACTGTTTAAAAACATAGGACTTATTAAGACTAAATACAACCTTTGTTGTTTGGTCCAAACGTGTTTTTGTACCGTCAGCATCCAAACCATCCAAGAAGTGCTCTAATTAATGCCAGAGCTGACCAGCTCCACACTGCAATACAAGAAAAGACACTGCCACGTATTCACGTCTTCCATATGATGAATTGCAGCAGATGCGTGCTATTTATTTTGCTTTAGTACGGAAGCCCTGATAGGCAAGTGAATATACATTCAAATTCACTTGCATAGCATGATGCATTCAGTTAAGAATTAAAAAAAAGCAGCTCTGTTCTTCTGAATTAATGAGATAATATCTTAGAATAATGAGAAAATCTTAGAGATAATGATCTCATTAATTCACAAAAACTGAGCATTTTTTTCTCAAGTTAATACATTATGCTTCCATAGCAACAGATGAAATTTTGTTTTTTTTGATTTAGATATTTTTGTTTGTTTGTTTTATTGTTTTGTTTTGTTGTTTCTAAGAAGGAAGTGTGAAATCTTTTATTCCTGTTTAGACTGGGGTAGTGGTGCACCTCAGCCTCTTGAGGACAAAATGAGTATTACAAAAACAACACAGGTGAAGAAAAAACACATTCACCTGTGTTCGCAGATGTAAAAAAAAAAAAAAAAAAAAACTAATATAAATTGGCCTTGAAAAAAATTCACACATTTTAAAGGATTAAAAAAAAAAAAAGAGAAAAAAACAAATTCACTTGTCTCTCAAGGGTTGTTTAACACAAAAAAAAAATATCCTGGCAAAAAAGAAATGTTTTACTTGCCTTTCAGGGCTTTCGTAGCCTCCATCTTTAAACATAATAAATATGTTTGTGGCCAACATGTGGACTGTATATTTTCATACAGGGTTGTTGTTTTGAAGCAGTAAAGTCAGAGACTGAATTTTCAGCCGTCTGACAGAGCTGTTATTATCTTACACTACATGTCTGTTACTACAGCTGATGAAATCAGCATCAGTCCGTGGCCGCCGAGTAGAAATGAGAAAACTGTGTTTGTTTATTTCTGTGTGAAATTAAGGAGTGGTAAATCTTACTGCTGAAAACTGTAAATATGTGCAGTGTGAGAATGAAAAGCTCAACAGGCGTGGCAGCAGTAACTAAAGGGAGGATGGAGCTTAGCGGACAGTCAATTTAAATCAATAGTTACTGAGAGAGGGGGGAAAGCTCTCCAAGCTAGCGAGACACAGCTCCACTGTGGCAGCAAATCCCATCACAGCTATTCTACAGAGGGGATTGATTTTGAAGCAAAGTTTTACAGTTTTAAAAGCTGGTGTGATGCGGTATTTAAATGTTACATAGATTTAATGAGGTGCTGTCCAATCATTTCACTGAACTCCTGTAGACTCTGATTGGTGAGGTTTTCATACCGTCATCATCTCTTACATGATATTAAGTCATTTTAATTTTTTTCCTATCACCTCGAACACATTTCCTCAGGTTTGATCATGATGCTTTTGGTGTTTTTGAAATGTTTTGTATCTCAATATCTAAAATAGTTGTGTGCCTGTGCAATGCTGATAACACTCATCTGCGTAACTGCTGCAAAGATTAATGAGAGCATCACCAAAAAAAACTCAAGGTACCTCTACTTTCATGAATAATAGATGCCACTATTTTTGCCAATCTTCCTTAGATCCTCTTCACAACAACAAAACACTTGGCGGATATAAAGAGGGAAATGACTCAAAACAACTGGTGCTCACGAAAAAGTAAAAGAAAACAAACGCAGGGAACAAACACATGACAAAAGAAATCAAATCAGAAATAATAACCAAAGATTTGTAACCAGGCTTGATCAAATATAAACCTCACAAAGAGCACTTCACTGGAGTTTGACCAGCACTGGCTGAAGTAACTGTGGAGTGTTATGTTGCAGAACACAGGGAAGAAAAATTCTATGTATTCAAGTGAGTAGTAAAATACACAACAAAAGACGCTCTCTCAATTTTCTTGTTTACTACCCAAGGACACACTTCTCTCTCTCTCTCTCACACCCACAAACACACACACACACACACACACACGCACGCACCGTGACGCAGGCTCCGGTTGTAGTGTCACACACAGTTAGGATGGAGATGTTTTGGGCCCGGTTCAACCACCTGACAGATGTCTTGGTCTTGCTGATCCACTTCACCATGGTCACATAATGTTCTCTATGAAAAAACATTATAATCACACTGGTTATTTCATGCTCTGTAAAATTATGAATGGATACTACGGAAGCCTAGAAGATGCTAATTATTTATATCACATTAAGATGCTTTTTCTGAGCATTATCTTGAACAGATGTGATGTGATGGTTATGTTACCATGAAACAATCATGTTACTACTTCCATGTTAGTGTCAAAAGAGGATTTAAAGCACTGGGCTTTGTTATATTAAAAGAAGGCAAATTACTGACATTGAAAATGACAGTGTAAAGGCTTTTTTGCAGTTGGGAATTGAACCTGAGTCCCATTTTCCTGTTCCTGAAAAACCATATTACTTCAATGTCAAGCTGTTGCTTTTCTCTTGCCGTGTCTCCTCTGGCCCAGTCCTTTCACGGCACAAGAGATGGCTGTGACTTTTTTTTTTTTTTTTTCGTACACAAAGAACATAATTTCTATGTTAAGACAAAGTGAACATTTTCCATTTCTTTCTGCAGCAGAACTCAGCACAAGTCGTGCCAAGAGACAGTAGTGGCAGGAAAAAGTCCTGCTGACATAGATTATACTTTCATCTGTGAAGTTACAGGAGATTTATTAACATCTTTCAGATTGAGTTCTAGGTATAGACTTGTGTAATGAGATCTCTAAAATATATTAAAATAAGAAATACAGTTGGATTCATTGTGAAATAACAATAAAAAAAAACGTTTGGTGGTTTACCTCACCAGAAGCATGGTGGGAAATGTTGTTTATCCTTCATTATATTAGCTCTTAGCTGAACTGCACTGAAAATACGGCTAGAATAACTGCAATGCAGGGGCACAGCCGGCTGCAGTTCACAGAATTTCCCAATTAAAACATGCAAAGTGTGTCGTGAAGGATAAAAAAAAATTACCATCTGAAGTTTTAAATGTAAGAAATATCTGACAAACGAAAACGCAGCCCCTCTCACCGTAGTTTGAGCGTCTCTGGAGGCATGAGCTCCAGCGTGTGCGTCGGCCCGTAAAGATTCACCACATAGAGCTTCACCGCCGGGTTGGGTTGGCCGGCCTGTGTGCACAACCACACAGTGCAGATGTTAGACATGCTGTAAAAGCCTCACATGACCGCAGTTGTAAAAATTCTTCTATCCAAAATGGCGGTGTGACTTATAAAAGAGCTGCCCCATGATGGAGCCATTTGGAATGAATAATTAATGGAGAGCAGCCCCTTTAAAAAAGCCCTTTAAAATGCACATACAGTTGGACAAATATGCATATGCATAAACATGATGCAATGCAGAAACACTTCACTGAAGCAATTGTAAATTACAGTCAGGCATTTGCATTCTGTCTGTAGTCTCATTTGAATGTTGTTCTGCCTACAAATCCAGAGAAAGAACATCCCTCAGACATTATGAATCTGTTGAGATCAGTGCTGTGTGATGATAAATGAATTCTTGAGGATTCATTTTTTATTCTATGTAGTCGTTTTCTTTTCCGCTCTGACCGCAACGACTCGCTCTACAGTACTTTGATTTGCTGTGCTTCCCAGACACACTTGTGATGATGCACAGGGAGAGTCCTACAGAAAGACCGGGACACAGAACAACAGGTGCTGCTTTCAATCAAAGATGCCGCTTTGTGAGAACCGGGTTATGTGTATGATCACTGCGGTGCACGGCATTCAGTTCAAGTGGCGTAATTAATTCCCTGCCACTGTGACTGTGTGCAGTCGCCCTGTATGACCGAATGTTTGGTGGATAGTGGCGGCACGACACGAACTCTGAGAGACTTTTTTTTCCTCTTTTTTTTATTTAGCATGCTGCTTTCACACTGGGTTGAAAATGTAAAACTGCGACATCAAGCTGTTACAATATAGTATAGGGGTAATAAGAAAAATAAACAACCAGAATATCAAAGCACAAATAGAGTACTTGAGAATCCATTTTGTGGGGAACAGGTATTACTTCATACTGGCTTCAGATAGATATTCTATGTTTTGTTGGTTGTACAGTGGGTAAACAAAATTACTCTCACAGTAAACTAAACTTTCCCCATGATACACCTGTATGACACTTAGAAAGGGAAAGTGTGTGGAAAGTACAACCTTTGTGAAAAGCCTGGTTACATTAGCGCTTTTTTTACCTGCCCCAGGACTGAAGATTTAGCCAGGACTGTAGCTAAGTCTGGTACAGCTCCTCTCTCTGTATGACATCAACTAAGTCCTTCACAAATAAATGTAACAAACCAATCTAAAATAAACTTCAACACTGAGAATATACAGTTAGTTTTTTTCTCTGAGAGTGAGATGAGGAAACAGAAACCTACCTCATGTTTGTGCAGTACAGAAGCTATTTGTATGTTTTGCTATTGCTACATGGCTAACGTGAGCATTGACAGCTGTTTACTTATAAGTCCTGACAAGACCTTCAGCCATTGTTGTATTTACAAAACAAGAGGTTATAATACGTTTATGTTGTTTGATGCTGATCTCACAACGTTTCTTCTAGACTGGTTAGTAAACAGCTGATGATGCTAACATTGGCTATGTAGCAAAAACTTACAACAAGTTCCTTTATATACAGGGTGGAGTCAGACTGTGCTTAGCCTCAAACTGTCACTGTAACATTGCTGTGTGTACAGATGAGTTACAACATGTTAAGTTAGTCAGCTAGGCTGATTAGCCAGGTTAGCTATTTTCCCCTCTCTCCAGTCTTTATGCTCAGCTAGGCTAACCACTCTCTTACTCCAGCAGCTCTGTACTAAAAGCACAGACGTGAGAATTATTTTGTCGTCATCCTCTTTAAAAGAAAGCAAAACAGACAGGTTGTTCTTAAGTTGCTGCAGGACCAGACTGCACAGTGACATGTACGGTATGGTTTCTAAATAATGCTGCTCACCTTGGGGTATGGGTACTGCTTTCCTTTGGGGTATGTCATGCCAGTGAAGCGAGGTAAAGGCATGTTGGGCACCAGGCTGTCGTTGAGAACCAGGAAGGCCAGTCTCTCTCCATCAGGTGACCACCAGTGTGCCACGTGGGTCTGAAGGATCTCCTCTGTTTGGAAGGAGACACACAATGAATGAACTGTACTTTTTTTTTTTACATTTTCAGATCAGAGATCAATCTTGCAATTTAAGGATCAAAAAGCAAGATTTTCACTGTCTTATGACACAAAGTAACACGACATATCTGACAACACGCACTTTGAACCACTATGTGTAGAGATTTGTTGCAACTTTAGTATTTTTGCCACTGGGGCTAAAGTTGGACATTTTCAAATTCCACTCATAGCAGCTCCGAGTACACTCCAGCTGTACATTGACCTTAGGACCCTGACACTTTATGCTTTACTTCGTATTTCAAACTCTTATCGATATTAAATCTAGAAGATGTAAAGAAATAAAGAAAAAGGTTAAATGGTGTTAACACCATCAGAAATATCTGCGCAGTGTGATAGCAGCGAAAAGGTCAATTTTCTGAACTGCCTTTAGTTATATCTTGTGCAGAGGCGTACACAAGATATAAATGCTTGGGGCCCCAAGGGCAAAAAGGGCCCCTGATATTCACACATTTCGCAATAAAAACCACAAACCTCCTTAAAACTCTCATAAAGACATTATACAGTTCACTGCATGTGAGGCGTTTTGGGGACATCTCTAAATTGTAGCTTCTGCCAAAAATCTGCATGTGAGGCATTTAGGCAACATATGTAAACTGTAGCGTCTGCCATACAGCGGCGTCTTGGTTTGTTCAATTGGCTGTGATGGGCTTCTGCACCTGGGGCCCCACAGAGTCTAGGATTGCCACTGACCTTGTACATGACACTCATATTCAGTTGATGATGCTGATCTGTGTTACTTTGGTAATAACACAGGTCACTGGCTATGTCCCATTGGATGTACTCTAATAGTTATGTCATAGAAAATGCAGTCTTATTTGATCCTTAAAGGTTAAACACAGTTGCTCTCTTCCTGAAGTCCTGAAGAACCAAACACACTGAAGTGGAGAAAAAAGCTGCTGTAATAAAAGAGGTATTATATGACGTTCTAATTTGGGGTCAGCCATCACTGACTGTTAAATTATTGTACTTAACAAATTTATTTAAGAACAAAAAGGGAACAAAGAAGACAAAACTGCAGTGAGGATTATTGCGGTTGCTTGTCTTTTTAAGATTTAAAGATTTACATAATCTTCGCCTCTCCAGAGAGAAGGGCCGAAGTGCCTGAGTGTATGTAGTGTGTGTTCTTTTAAAGCACATAAAACGCCTTCACCCAGTGGGAGATCTAGATATGTACTGGAACAAACATGAATATTTAATTACTGTCTTTTCTAAGGTAATGCTTCTAAACACAGGCATTTTCAGTTTAATGAGACAGTGTGTTAACACTTTGAAAATATGGTTAGATATTATCATTATTTGTACCTCAGCGGTGTTTAAAATCCACTGTGGCTGAGCCAGTTTCTCAACAAGTCATTAGCTGTTTGTCTCGGTTTCTTCGAATAGCCACCAGGAAAAGGTTTAAAGTGCACGCTTTGGTTGCTGATATGTACCTTCATAGAGCCAGTCAGCAATTCCATTGAAGATGACCCCCTCCTTCCCTGAGGACGTTAGCCTAAGGGAGTTACTCTTGACATCAGATTGGTAGTAGATGTTGTTTTCAAATATGTAGATCTGTAGAGACAAAGCACACAGTCACAACAGAAATCTTACATGGTACGGGTAAGGAGCACAGAAATGGTGCACATGGCTGTAAAGTCAGATTCAGATTTTGGGCTTTGCACAGCCACTGGATTAACCATTATGATATTAAATACACACAGTATCTGCTCAGGCATCCAAAGTATTCCTTTAGGATTAAAAGGTGCACGGCGTTGTCGGAAAGCCATCAAGTGATTAACTCCAATGTAGTGTAAAGTGTATTAGTGGAAGTAAACCTGTTACACCACTTAAAGTCCCAAAACCAGAATCATCTACATCAGGAGTTTTCAAATAAACTGCACCGCTCTGAATGCACCAATCTCCTCTTTCATTTATAACTGTTTTGATTTTTATGTCCGCAGATTTTCATCACACAGTAAACAGCTGTATATGAATGGTGAGAGTGGAGAGAGAAGAGTGGAGGACCATGTTGATGGCACATCTGAGCCTGTTTAGAGGGATAATCTTGATGAATTGTTGCAACTACAGCTCCCATTATGCATTTTTTTCCCTGCCATGTAAGCACGAAGTGTAATGGAGTCAGTTAGGTGTTGGCTAAACTTGAGCCCTGTTTTTATACCCTATGTTTGTCTACATTTTGGAGAACGGACAACAAATTAGTTGAATTAGCTATTAGCAGTTCCTGATGGCAGTGTACCCAGAGACTTTAACACTGAAGGAAACTTGAAAACGTGATGATTCTCACTCATAAGGAACATCTTTCCTTCTTTGATTTTGAATGTTGTAGGTGTTTGGAACAAAACAGAAAGGAGGTCTTTTGTATTGATTGTAGTACCCAGCACACAAGAAGTGCTACCTACATTTTCCTTTGCAACTTCCTTCTTTGAGTGACATAAAACAGTGATCCAATATTTGTCCATGAAAACTTTACAGAGTTCTCAAAGCCCAGCAACAAGAGAGGAAGTAGAGAGCAGCAGTACTGTCCACTATATGTGCAGAGCTGCCTACATTTCCCTGTAAAAGAAAAACAATGTTGAACTTATTTGACACATCAAACAAACACTAGAGACTCTCTTAAAGTTACACAGTCCGTCTCAGATGGAAACAGAATCTGTCCTCAGCCAGAAATATGTGGCCTGATGTGATCTTAAATAAAAATTCATTAGCAGAGGGGCCTCTCCCTGCACTGACACAACCTCACAGTCAGCAGGGCCTTCTGCTGTCTGACTGCAAGGCATCAAGATATCATCAGTCCAGAGGGCACTCTGGGCCTGGGTTAAAAGGTTCAGAGAAATTATGATTTAACAGCAGACACACTTCAAATGCACCGTCTGCAAGAAGGAAGTTCTAAACTGTGGAGCATTTCAAGTTTTATTCTCTACAGGTTTGATCAAATTATAGAAGCTGAGAATGTCTTGGAGATCTCAGCACAGGAAAAAAGGAAAAATCAGAGAGCCTTAATGTAAACAGTTGTTTTCATACGTTACCACCACAAAGACTGTTGTTGAGATTCATTGCGTTTCCTCTGGATGACATTATTTTAAATAAAAACAGTATCAAATAGTTCTTTACATAAATAGTTTTGTGAATTGAAAGTCGTTCCTTCCCAGTTACATTTGAACATTTCTGAATCAGCGTCTGCTGAAGCTAATGTGGGAATCTGAGAGCTGAACACCGGGGTTGTTCTATATTTTATAAATGTCAACAAACCAAATGAAAAGACTATAACCAACAGCATGGTAAGAATCAAAACATTGTAACTTATAGCCTATTGTTTGCTTCTGAAGACATTATTCGATAACAGTGCAGTTTTTAGATTCAGACTGATACAGATTAAGTGTATTTCCAGCACCGTAGGCTTAATATAAAATGTGTGTAGGGTCCATACAAAAATTCACTTACAATAAAAAAAATGATCATTGTGAGTGCATGCACACCTTCATGCAATTCATCCCTTTATACAAATACAATCAGCTTGAAGGTTTGTGCATGTGGACAGTTAGTTGCCATAAATGGTGAGCGAAATCCCCTTAATGAACTTTGATACATATATTGTTCTTTGGGACAACAAACAAAAGACAGTTTGAGAGGCTTAAAGCTGCAGCAGCTGTTAACACAACCAGTGTAGAGAGGGGCACTGCAGCACATCTCCAGAGAATGGACAGGTGGGGGCAGGGGCACACCGGAGCTCGCTCTGATATTCATTAATCAACTTAAGACATTTACATGGCTAACGAGATCACGCAGTCTACATTTAAAACCTATGAACACTGTATTTATCTCCATGATGCAGGTTTTCTCTCAGTGTTTTTGATGAGCGTGTGAAGTGGTTTCAGGTGAGTCGCACTGGCTGAAGAAGACGCGGAGTATGTGGCAGTCACCGAAATGTTTCTCTGCAGGTCCCAACTTTTCCGCATTAACACATCTTTCTAAACCTAATTTTGAGCTTATACAGCAGTCACAAATGACGGCCGTGTTTATCAGAAAGAACTACATTACCCATGTTCACTTTAACGAGGGAACAGAGAATACTAGTTCATGGGATCAACTCACCGATTTTAAAGTGGATCTCTGTGTTCTTTCTGCATGAAGGGCTGATTATCATCTTACTTTTTTTTTATATAAGGTCAGTGTGAAATGTTTTGTGTGAAAATCAAAAAAAACATTTAGCTCATCCAGGTGATGGAAACAGGGTGATACATGTACGTAGGCCTATTTGGGAAGTACCTCATAAAAAGCTCTTAAACAGCGCTGTTGCAATGTCAGCTACAGGGAGGTACTGACATTCTTTTTTGAGACTTTTTCAGCCTGTATTTATTTACATTTGTGCAAACTGATACAACTAAAAGTATGTCAAATTAGCAGTTTCTGTTTGCAATGTAACCACAGACAAACAGACAAATATCACTGGATTAGTTGCAGAAGAAAAGAAAGCTTAAAAATGTGATGATTCTCGAGCCGGTTCTGAACCCTCTAAATATTATTTATATTATTATCATCTATTTATTATTTCTAAGATTATTTATGGACAATTATTCACAATTGAGATCAGAGACAATGAGACCCCTGTGAAGTGTAATTCACACTTAAAGATATCAACTACAAAAAGGTGTAAAATATTTGACTCAGATTCACATCATGCAGTATTCCCATCCTCCCCCTTTGACTCTCCTGCTCACCCCCTGGAGGCCTTTGGCTTCATCCCGCTGAGTGGCCATGACTATTGCAGACCACATGCTGAAATTTCCTGATAGTTGCAATGTTGTGGTAATAGTGCTAATAGTGATTACCTTTGTGAAATCCCTCTGACTAAAGGTGATTGAAAATACAGGTGGATTGAGAAGATAAGAGCAGTCTACTAGAAGACAGCCAGAATGATTTTTCACAGAATAATTCACAAATGATCAAAGCGGATCAAATGTGATATAAATAGAATTAAAACATAATTAGAAAGGTGTAAACTGGGAGAAATCATCATTAGACACCTCTAATTCATGATCTGTATGTGACTTTCTGGCATCTTCCCAGCGAGAATTAACAAATTCCCACAGAATCACCAGGCTCACTTACAGCCTCTCACACAAAACACACGTCGTTCTTTCCAAAGATGCTCTTCTGGCTAATGACACTGTGTGTGCCACTCGAGAGCTAAAAAGCCTTCACATCTGTCTAGCTCTCTTATCACTATAATGACTTCCTAATGGAGTCGCGTTTGATTTATGCTTAAATGTTCCACATTGAAATTTGCAAATATGGTCAAAGCAGCTTTACTCGGCTTTAGCCTTTTTAGCTGTCAACAACAACAAAAAAAATCCTCCTAATGTGTCAAGTGTAGATAAATAAGAGGGTATGAGGGAAGGTATGAAGGTACGGTATGAAGAAGTGAACATTAAGAGCACAGAGAGGGGGATTCTGGCACTGAAGCCACACAAAGCACAGAACAGGACAAATGTTTTTCGTTTTTTTTTTTTGTGTGTGTCTCCACAGTTGAACTACACAGGCAAAAGCACAGAGACACCAACACAGAAAAGTGCCATGACACTTGGTGTGTCTGTTCATGTGGCACAATGTCCTCCACGCGCCTGGAGCTGAAGATAAATTCTTATTTAGTTGGCTCCACAATGGCAGAGCCTTTTAAAATACAGGCTTTTATCTTTCTGTAGAAATTCTGAATCAGGTTTTGTTGGACATCAGATAAAGGCTGTGAGACTCTAACCGAGCAAAAGCTAATGATCTTTGTGAGCTGACCGATTTAATAACACAACTCTAACTCTTATTCTCTGAAAATAACTAAATTACGATGAGCTTCAGACACAAATAACCAAATGTATAAAACAGAAAAGTGTACTATTTCATTTTCACTGACCCTGAAATGCATTAAAGCTAATTCAGGTGCAGTGAGGTGGTGCTAAAAGTCAGGGTGAGGTTATCAAGTGTTTTAGTCACTGTGCTCTCACCAGCTGTTGGCCCTGCACTCCCCAGGCAGCGTACTGCAGGACTGAGTTCACCACCTCAGGAGGATCCAGCTCCCAAACCTCCCTGAAAGGAAAGACAACAAGTGATGTCAACACTAACATCCGGTGGTGGTCTTGGTTTTCATTTCATTGTATGTGTTAACGGATCAGAGCGGATACAGTGGCTGTGCAACACGTCGGCGTCTCGTCTGTTTCTCTACTATTCTCCCAGGAAAAACAGACAGAGAAAAGACCTGTTGATGTCATATTCACATCATACCAGCAACATCACACAAAACTGCCACCTTCCATTATAGTCGTATGTGTCTAGGCTGAATATGAATATGACACAGACATGAAAAGATATAAATACATTTCTGAACCATTTTAGCAGCTGCATGTGTAGACAGACATTTTAATGCCATTTTTTGTCAACAACCTGCAAACTTTATGTAGAGCCAGAGCAGCAGCAGCAGGCAGCAGCAGCAGCAGCAATGCACACGCGCCGCATCCAGTGTGTTCCCGGCTTAATAATGCCGGTGATTGGCTGTTTATTTACACGTACACGTTTGAGCGAGTGAAGAGACTGAGGTTAAAAATAAAACTAACATTTATACCGTAACGTTTATTGTCATTTCCTGTTTGTTAAAGTATCGCTAAGAGTCAAGCTAGCGGTAGGCTACTGAAGATACTCAGCCCTGCCTGTAATATAAACACAGCACTGGCTTTTAATACAGGAGTGGAGTGCAGTTATTGAGTTAAAACCAATGTGGAAAAAAAAAAGTTGTTAAAACAGTTTTTCCCTTTGTTATAACACATGTTATGCATCAGTTTCTCTTGGTTCAATCCACAAGGAGGTGAAAAATTCAAATGAGCACAAGTTGGTAACGGACTCACGGCCTGGTAACTGAGATAAAAAGAAAATAGCAGAGTGGCGCTCTGAAACAGCACGGTATCTGAAGAATTAATCACATAACTTCATAGAATAACACTCATGTTAGAAAAGGCGAAAATCCCATCAACTGTATCAAGCTTTCATCCTCCCTGATTAGTGATGGGAACCCTGCTGGGCCCCATGACTAACGAGAGAGGCAGGATGTCTGTGACTGATCCAGAGATCCAGCAGAACCCTACAGACTAGCTGATCAACTGATGGTCTCCAACTTTTATCTCAACTACACATGAACTTTTCATGGGTGGTATCACCGGGTTGGACCAAATAACCTTTATGGTTGTTCAGGTTGGAGGAGTTGTTGGAGGCACTCGACTGTGACTCCTCCTCCTCTTGGATCCATTGTCCAACAGATTGGAAATCCTGCTCTGCCACTTATCCAGTGACAACTGTACACCTATTCTAGGTTGACTGCGTATTTCAGCTTTGTGTATTTTTGACTCTGGTGAAAACACAGCAGTGTTGTCTATTTGCATTGTTGAAGGCTTTGAATCAATTAGTGTTCTCCAGTCCATTTTGACTGTCCTCAATCAGCTGTTTACTGCTGGAAGACATCAGGAGAATCCTTTTTTTCAACAGCACCGCCAAATTTAAATAACGTCTTCAAATGTAGTCCTGTCCCCGAACACGAGGGGCCCTCAGGCCGCAGCTTGGGTCCGCCAGGCAGACAACAAGAGAAACACCTGCCTTTTCCTTCATGCATGTCACAACATGTTACTAGATAATGAAACACTAAGTTTGTCACACTCAGTTCTTACTAATAATGTCACTGCAGTACATTTTCGTGTTGTTTTTTTTCTTTTACCACACAGGTTGTCTCAGAGCAACTGCTGGACGAAGACACACACACTCACCGTGTATGAATGTTGTAGATGCTGTAGGAGGCCATGTAGGAGTGACGGTAAACCTGCAGCGAAATCAACACAGAGAAAAAAAGAGAGAGAGAGAGAGAGAGAGAGTTAAAAAGATGACTGTCTGAAACATTAACGAGAGGAGCAGCAGAGCCACAGATAATGACATCACGACAAAAACCGAGAAGGAGGAAGGCATCAGACAAAGCAAACTGCTGGCTGCTCTCTGTGATAGAATCTGTAGACAATGCAATTTGCATGGGTGACAGCTGTAGGACGAGACATTTTAATTCCATCTGAGAAACCCATCATCGTCCAGTGCCTCTGCGCCGAACGCTCGGGAGAGATGGAGACAGAGAGAGAGAGAGAGAGAGAGAGAGAGAGAGAGAGAGGCATTCAAAGTGACAGAGGGGTGCATGTAAAGCTGTCTGACCCCCTCCCATCCCCTCCCCATGGAGAAGCTGTGCCTGACATGATAATAGACCTCTGACCGTGGCGGGTGATCAGGCACAGGGACGGGCCACATTTTTGCATTTCATCATGGATGTGACACTTATGTATTCAGCTCTGACACGGAGCAGAGGAATATATCACAACATGCAACTGTAGAATTCACCACTGCTAAAACAAAGGACTCACAGATGCACCTGATTAGTTGCTATTTATACTCTGTCCTCCTTGGAATGTACACTTCAATCTAATTTGGGCTTCAGGTAACTGCACAATAGATAGATAGATAGATAGATAGATAGATAGATAGATAGATAGATAGATAGAATATTGTTTAATACCTTCTTCCACTGCCATTTTAATCTAGAGAGATGTTTGATTGTTCATGAGTGAGGAAGACCAGAGTGCAACTCTTTATAAAAATAATAATGCAGACATATAATGGTAGACATAAATGCACAGTAGGCTCCATATTAGTGGATTAATGAATGGATGATGTAGCAGTGCACTCACAAAGATAAGCACAGAAACAGATGTATCTTCTCAGATGGATACGAGCCACAGAGAGGCAAGTGTAGCCCACCAAGGAGAAACAGAGAAAACCAGAGCTATCAGCGCCTTTTCATTTTTATCAAGGATGTTATAGCAAGAGGTATTACACACCCCAATGGATGGCACAAATGAGAGCTTGGAGTGCTCCCTGGTACACCTCGGGGAGGCGAGCCAGAGGCTACGAGTGCTCTACATCATCTTGGAAGGTGTTGTCCGAGATGGAGTTCATTTTGGCCCATTCTTTCAGGCTGTCCGTCCCTGCGGAGGCTAAGCCTTTTTCTTTTTTCCCCTTTTTCTTTTTACAAGTGTGTTATGCCTGCTGGCGCGCTTTGCTTCCCAGCACACAATGGCAGGAACATGACTTGACTTCCTCAATAAATTGGTGGACTTGGTTACAGCTGTCTGTCTTACACTCACAGAGCTTATCACATTTCTTATGAAGGATATTCTCCACTATGTCAGGCTCACTGTGTATGCGGAGACTGCAGGAACAGAAGCAGCGAAGCCAGATTTATATTTCATCATATTCCTTTTTAGTGTAGTGATCATGTTATTATTGACAGTATTCATTTTTTGTTGTAGCTGTGTGTTTGGGTTTGTGAAACAAGTTGGAAACACATTAATCATGAAGTTACAATCGTAATAAATTGGAATATAACATTAGCTCTGTGTTATTATGCTGTGCATTTCACTCATGTCATTGTCATTTAAGTCATGTTATGTTAATATAAAGCCAGCAGTGTGACATCAGATCAGTTTTTCAGCTGAGAAGTGCGGGCATGCAGGGTTGTGGAGGATCAGGGGGTCATATCCACAGATTTTTACGGTTTTTCAACTGCAGTGAATTGTGTGGATTCCTTCTAAAGTAGGGATTTGTGAGCCGGTTATCCTCTGTGCTGCTTTAATGGGCCTTCCTGTTCTCAGACGTGCAGCAAGGGTGCTATGTAGTGATGTAGTGATGCCCTTGTAATGGACTCAATGGTACATCTATGGAAGATTATCAACAGCTGGTGTGGGATTTGTGCTTTCTTCCAGCTCCTCAGGAGGTGAAGCCTCTGCAGATCTTTCTTGATCATGGCGATCCATGAAAGGTCACGGCTGATGTGGAGAAGGAAGCAGAAGCTCTGAGCAGCCTCCGCTCTCTCTGCATCGATGCTGAGGGAATGGTGGCCGTTGTTTTTCCTTCACCTCTTCAAGATTAGCTCCTTTGTTTTCTTTGGGTTGAGAGCGAGGTCGTTGTCCCACAACCTCTTCACTGTAGAGTGTGTAGCGGACATACCTGGCCTGGCATCAGTCACAAGCCATTAAAGAAGTTCATTGTAAGGACATGCAGAGTTACGGATCCACAATTGACACTTTGCGACTCTTCCCACCATCAAACTATCAAATTGATAGGAAACAGAGACAAAGGACCCTTCTCTCACAAACAGACCATGCTTTTAGCATGTCACAGAGATCCCAACAAGCCCAAGGGTCAAAGGGTCAGCTCCAGAGGATCAACCAATGGACACCAGGCAACAGTTTTCATTATTATTTTCATCTTTATGATTATTACACCTTGCATTTACTCTGTAGATAGTAGTTCAGTTAATAAACTCCTTTATTTGCACCCAGTCGTTGTCCTGTTGTATTCTTTTGACGGAGAGACCGGAGATCCATTGAATCGAGAAGTCATGGCTTCCGATATGAGATTGATCACATTAATCAATGAAATAATTCATTGTTGTCCTCCCTGAGGACTGGTGCCCCCTTTCAACGAGAGCAAATTCTAAATTAACGCTACAAGTGCGAGTCGTTGGATATCAAGACAGACTCTGACATCCGGAGGGAGCTTTGAGTAGAGCTGCTGCTCCTTCACGTTGAGAGGAGACAGTTGCGGTGGTTCAGGCATCTGGTTAGGATGCCTCCTGGGTGCCTCCCATTGGAGGCTTTCCAGACACATCCACCTGGTAGGAGGCCTCGTGGTAGACCCAGAACCCACTGGAGAGATCATACATCTCATCTGGCCTGGGAACGCCTCAGGATCCCCCAGGAGGAGCTGGGAAACATTGCTGGGGAGAAGGATGTCTGGTCTACTTTGCTTGTCCTGCCGCCACCACGACATGACCACACCATCTTGTTTGTTTCCCTCAGAGGTAAGTGGAAATCCAAACACAACTAAAAGGAAAGTTAATATTGGACTTACATTTGCCAAGTGAAAAACAAAAATTCAAATTCTGCTCTGTCTGCTGAATGTGCAAACAAGTAACTGCTTGCTAATAGTTTCACCATATCAACTTAAAAGGCCATAAGCTCTGACTGTTGTGTTAACAGCTTGTTTCCATTGCCAACAAGATGCCCAAAAAATCAGTTAGTGCAGGTTTAGGTGTTGCAGGAGTAACTACAGTATGCTGCCTCTCCCATAAATGTGAAGTATTCTGCACGATACCAGGTTTATGTGCCAGTGTGAATGAAATCTAACCCTTGCAGAGTATATCACTATCATTTTCTCCAAAGCGCATTTGAAGAAACAAAACGGTTAATGAGGCTTATGGCAGTTAGAAAGACATTATACAAAGACAACAATGAGGCTTTGGATTCCAGCCTAAGCACCCATGCACAGCCCATCGCAATAAGGTGGAACATCAATAATACAGACTCTTGTTCATACCAAAAGTAAATTGCTGTTTAGAGAGAAGAAGAGGATTCACCAAGCTCCAAGTGACTCATATCGACTTTATGCAGAGTATGCACATACTGAATGCACTGCAGTTGACACAGGGGGGTTGAGAGTGCTCGATATAAATTTGGAGGCGTTATAACAAATATCTCTCTGTGTTGTGGAGAACTATGCCTGGGAGTAGAAACTGATTCCCCAAGGTGCTTTTGACGCATTTCTCAAACTTTGACATGTTGAAAGTTCCTAATTTTCTGCCATGAAATATAGACAAACCCTGCACACGCCCCACTGAGCCACCGACACTCCATTAAATTAGGTACAGGGCTGATATTGGTACGGTGACCTTTGTCGCAGGCTTGATGATAAAACAAAAAAGATTGTGACATTTTCAACACTCTCACACAACAGTGGCTGCGAAGATGAATATAATGTCCAAAACTAAAAGTATGGGAGCAATATAAATATATATATAACAAGGTTAATCCTTAGACACGCATTGTGACCACCTCTGATAATATGATGAGGCTTATTGTTTTATAGCATTTAATCAAATCCAAATCCTTTGGAATCCTTTATCTTATTAGTACTAGCTTTCAACATTTGCCTGCTAAGTTAAAATATCTCAAACTTCAGCTTTGATTTTGATCTGTTATCACCTTTTCTTGGGTGATAAGACAAAAACACTATAAGTTTGAGTAGCTGAGTAATTAACATACAACCTGTAAATGAAAATCTAACACCATTAGATATGGAAAGGTTATTAAATTAAGTAAAACTGATTGGAACTGAATGACAATCATGTTTTAGTTACTATCCTGATAAATAGTAATAAAAGTCCTTCTTTTTAAATGTTACAAAAGGTTTTTTTATTTTTCAGTTCTTCCCATCCTCTTCCACTGACTCACATCATGGTTGTAGTACTTCAATTATGGTCACAAATCCAGTCTCAAGATGTTCTTTCAATTGTCCTTGAATTGTCTCAGTTTTGTAGAGTTGGGCTCTTTGGTTTTGGGTAGTCCAGCTGTCGAACTTGCTAGCTAGCAAATACGATAGCTTATTTATGATTTACCACATTGGTTCATATGAATTGTTTTAGAAATTAAGTTATTCTGACACTCCAGTTGTGCCAGTTGTCATGAACAATAACAAAATGATTTTGAGAGGAACACCTGACATCAACTTCTGGCCACAAGCTTCCAGTAATTTTATAAACTACAAAAAGCAGTAAGTTACTTTATCTTTCACTGAGGTACTTTCTGAAACTGTTAAACATGGGGTTCACTATCTATATTAGAAGAAGGATTATCTTCTATGGCACTTTGACAATTGAACAGTTGATGATTTTAGCAAAGTTGAAGAATGATTAATGTGTTAGCATTTAGAGCTACAGCTCAA